CAGTGTTGAACGAATGAGTTTATTAAACTAATACAAAAATATGAAAATGAGAGAATTCATTTTTGTAGATGATATTCTTTTATGTAAGCGCGATGCCGATGTCAAAAGATTAACTATGATTTACAAACACGCTAGCGTGCATACTCCCCACTTTCATAAAACATCATTGCTATGCATATTCCCTTGTTTGTTTCCCATACTTCTGTGAAAAAAAATAAATAAACTGAGTAAAAACCAAAGCATTTTCAATTTGTTCTACTTCGATTTAATTTTATTTAATCCCCTTATCTTTAACATTTAATCAGTCACATCGAATTGCGAAATTTTCTATGTTTATTTTCAATTCTCATCAATCTTTCAAAATATCATAACAAATGATAAAAAATGTGATATCATCATTAATTACCATAGTTGTTGCAGAGGACGTATGGTTGTTCACGTGTCTAAATACTAGTCCCTGTTCTCAAATTCAACGATTAAGGCCTTAAATTTAGTTAATAACTTTCATACTCAGATTTCTATTTACAACACGTGTCTCTGTGATCCATGAAAAAAGAGCAATTTCTAAAATAATGCATTGAAGACTTTAACACCAACACCAGAAATCGACTTAGGGGTTTATTTATGTGTTAAGTAGGCGGTTTTATATTACATTCTTTCCAGTCTGATATAAATGAATTGGTTTTTCCTATTAATCGCATTTTATGCTGACGCATTAAAATACAATACACAATTACATAGAAAATGCAATGTTATGTCAAAGTGGGGGATTGAAATGTTGTTACAGTAAATCAGATAAAACGGATTAGGTGCAAATAGATCTGAATATTTTCACTGCAATACAATAATTTGTACAATGAAGGGAACACTATCAATTTGATTAATGACTTCTTATTATTGTTATCAATTTTTTGTGCCTTTTTTGAGTTAATTCAATATTTATTGTATATCTTGTGCATCGCTTGTATTTACAATATGTTTTTATCTTTTAATTGGAGTTCTATGTGAACTTTTTTTTTATTAAATTTCATTTTTGCGTTCATCCATCCATCGTTCAATAAAGGAAGTAACGATTTTTCGTTCAGACTTTAGCATAAATTGTAAGCTAATTGGACTGTTGCAAAATATTTTGGTTCTTGTTACTTACTGACATATGGATTCATCACAATGAGGCAGTAAAAATGCGCCTTAATCAACCGCCTCTATTTATTGTTTCCATTTTTTTCTCTTTATTTTATTAATAATTTTTTTTTCATTTCCTGTAAGCAATTTGAGCTTCTCCATTATTTAGTGTTGCAAAAATAAATTGAATAATAAAATTCAAAGCATTCATTAATTTTGAATGGGCGATCAATGATGGCAACATTCATGCATAACTTCAACACAAAAGAAAACAATTCTTTGTTGCATACCTCAATTTTCTTGTTTAAAAAGTTATAATTTAATTAAACTTTCAATCGAAGGTTGGTTTTTTTTATATTTTTCTTATTTAGTTGGGTTATAGACTCATTATTGTACAAAACTATTGACATTAATTAGGTATCATTAATGATATAGTCATAAAGATATTTAAAACAATTTATCATAATATTTCTTGAACAATTTATTTTTTTTATTAAGTTTTTACCCAATAATTATATGTGTTCAAAAAAAGATGCCTAAAATAAAGAAATAAAGTAAAGGAAAAATATAAATTTCCGTTGATGAAGATCGAAACGATCTATATATTCTTACGTTCCGTTTTAACCTATAATTTCCCTGCATCATAATCAACATTTATCATATCGTGATATTTTTCTTATAAAGATGATGAATTGGAACAGAGAAGTATGAACATATTAATTTTAGTAAATTGTTTAAAATCAGCCAATGTAATAATCAAGCCAACAAATTTGAACCTCGACGCTTTAAATTGATAACTCAATTTAAAATAGCTTTATAGACTGAATATACCGATCAGAGAGGAGAGAAAAAAAAGTAAATTGAAAAATTATTACAGGGATGTCAAAATCAAATGCTTATTAAGGAGGAAGAAGAGAACATGCTGCAAGAAATATAGAGATTTATGCATGAGTCTATAACATATAACTAATTTCAAATCATATAATTACAGTACAAGAAGAAAAAAAGGCATTTTAGTTTTATTAATGATACTAGATTCTCACTTTTTTTTATTCACATATTTCATTTAGTTTAGCAATTTACACTCTCGATAGCTATTTTTTAAGCATATGAATCATGTAATGAGCTATAATGATTATATGTGAGACTATTACATTAAGCATATTAATGTTGAATAATTTTTTGTCACCCCTGTATTCTCTTCTTAATCTACCTTGATGCAATCTGCATGCAACATACAACATAATATGGAAGACGATAATTGAACCATATGCTTAGCATCTTAAGCGAGCAAATGTGAAGTGAAAGAAAGCAAAAACAATAATAATTGTCAATTAGAAAATTTAAATTTAAATTTTATTCAAAAAATGTGATAAAATCAATTTCGTGTTCAAAAATATCTGAGCATGCATGATCATTAAAAAAGCGCTTCCAAAACCGCAACATCCAATCAATTATCAATGAAATAATGGTTCCATACATTTAAAACACCGTTTACTTATTCCTGTATATATTTTATATATATATAAATGTTCGACCATGAATAAAGGCTGGCAAAAAAATTAATAAACGCATAAAATTCATACGAGAGAGAGAGCGAGATTGCGAGTGAGTATATGTATATATGCTTTTAAGAAAGACGGCTCGAAGTAATTTCTTTTGCATCAGAGGGTATCCGTCTTTTTTTATAACTTAATTTTATTTATGAAGGAAAACGAGCAAAACATTGAAAATTGGCAAATAAAAATTAATAACCTCTTTGCGGCAATAAAATAACAAGGCTTGGATATGATGAATGGCAATATAATTTTCCTTTTTTGCTCTTCTTTTTTTATAATCATGAACAGGAAATTACCAAATGAAGCATTAAAATATTTCAATATATGCAAATGATCATCAATTTTTAAGTTGCCAAACCTTGAACGTTAAGAACAACACGGTACAAAAGAAGGTTGTAAAATTTAACGTTTGCTGGGCATTGCGGCTGATCAGAACTGGTTGTATGGCGCAAATTTTCTCTCTCTTTTGAAGCGATTGGCACAATTACTGTACAAACGTCTCAATTTCTTTCTGACAGCGTTTAAGTTATAAATTTTTTCACTAAAAATTAATTTTATATTTCATTTTAAAACTCAATAAAAATGAATACGAACGAAATGTGTTGGGCAATAACGAAAATAATAATAAAGAAATTCACTTAGTTTGTATTTTTTTAAATAACAAAAGCAAGATTATTATCAACCCGATGATCTTGTTAAATGAAAAATTCTCATTATAAATCCTATAAGAAGCTCAAGAAAACTGACATTGATTATGATTATAATATAGTCATTAAATTCTGTGCCTTATCAATTAATTATATTTATTTTCATAACAGAGAAAAAAAAATATGAACACAAATAAATTTAATTAAATTTATAGAGGTTGTGATTTTTAAACAATTAGCTCATGAAAATAGAATCAGTTGCGAAATTAATTTATATATAAAGGAAGCATTTACGGAAGGTTATTTATGTTTGTTTTTTTATAAAGATACTTTTCGAATTAAAATCTTTTCTTATGGTATGTCTTTAAGGCATGTGGTCTACCTTTTTTGGTTTTGCCATAATTTTATGTGGCTCTTTTCTATGAATATTTTTCATTCTGTCTCTATTTTGTCCATTTATCATTTAAATGAGCTACTCCCATAGATTGTGAATTTTTATTTCAACTTGCGACTAAAATTAAACATAATGAAGGTTTATTTTCTTAGAAAATGCTTCAGAATTGGAAATTAACTATAATTACTGCCATTTTTGATGTAAGACTACTATTAGTAATTGATAAGCATCAGCTTACACCGGTAATTTCCAAATCCAGAGACATTTAAAGCGCAAGTTCAGTTTGTTTCCGTTAAATAATTGAACATGTTAAACCACATAATATTAAGCTTAGAAGTTGCTAAAGTATAATTTTTTTAAATCTGTCGCTGCATAGAAAGGATTGCTTTCCTTATTTCAATCAACGTTGTGTATATTGAAACATGTATACATTTATTGCTTTAGAATATACGATGCGCAGAAGTCTGATTATAGAAGCCAAACTTATGGCGTCTGTTGGATGAAACATCTTCATTGTTGCTTTTCTCATCTCTTTTTTCTACTTAAGGTTTTATATCTCTTTTGAAAATTGGAGTTTCTAGAATTTTGTTTTGATAACAATACCGGCACAAATTATCAGGAACAGTAAGAGTGGGAACTTAAACTCTACTAAAAAAATAACTTCATTCACGTATTGCTGCTATGAAACCACAAAAAAACTTAATTTTATTTGAAAAAATTAATTTAAGACTTTTAATTAAAACCATCAGCTTGAAAGAATAGAAAATAAGCGTAATCAAACATTTTGATTCCTATAAATCCAATAATATTGAATACATTGAATAAATCTTCGAGTCAGCGAGACAGAATCAAATCTAATCAGACTTCATTTAATTAAAGTTTCTCATATGTTTGTGAATGGATGAATGAATCTTCCTATCAACACAAAGATCATTACGATAATTATAAAAAGATTAAAGCATGTAGGTTTATCATGCTTTAGTGTTTGATGAAATATACTAAAATATTGATAAATATTTACTTATGAAGTGATTAATTATGCTTTATCGATTCACAAATTTACTTCAATTAATTTTATCTGTTATTTTATATGTCAAAATGATTAAGACTGATAACTATTTTACGGCACATATGTACGTACATGATATGAAACTATATGAAACCAACTTTCATTGAGTACCTATAATAAATTAGTGATAAGATAAATAAATAATGAAGAGAAAATGTTCATGGCAATAAAAGCTAATGCATTCATTTTCCATAAATAATTATTTCTAGGCTCAACTGCTGATGGGGATGAGGAAAATAATTCATCGAAACGAAGACGATCTAGAACCAATTTTAATTCATGGCAATTAGAAGAATTAGAAAGAGCATTTACAGCTAGCCATTATCCTGACGTATTCATGAGAGGTAACCTTTTACATTATGAGACATCATCAATATAACAATCTACATTCTATTTCCTTTTTTTCTTTCCTTCATTCCTTCGACATCTGCAGAAGCTTTAGCAATGAGACTGGATTTAAAGGAGAATAGAGTTGCGGTAAGTTTGCACATTTAATGTTTTTTAAGGGATATTTACACTTTTGTGTGTGATATCAGAAAATCAGAAGAGAATTAATCACATTAGTAAATCAAATATAACTTAATGTTCACATTTCTCAAGTCAATAAGCAAAATTAAGTTCTTACAATTTATATACATAAACTAATAACCGCAATTATTATTAAATTATTAATAAACTTTCGTTCAAAGTTTAATTAAGTTGTTAAACTGCTTTTTTGAAAAAAATTCGATATAATTTGTAATTGAATGCGATTTATTTATGAAAAAGCAATAGAAAATTACTGCTAATAATTTTCAAACCTATAATCACACTAAATCACGAAACTTTTCAATCAGTACCTTTACAAATACATGAGTTTTTTTTTTTGTACAAAAGACGAAAAGTCTTTATCTGAATACAATATATATTTTACTTTAACATTAGCAACAATAAAATTACAACCGTATATATTGTTTTCGTGACAAAATATAATTTCTTTTAATTGTATGGACCATTGCCTTCAATTCTAAGTCATTTATAATATTAATGTGTACATAAGGAAAGCATACTCTAATATTAAATTATATATTTAGACATTTTCAGACATAAATCCTCAATTTTCCTGTAATTCGATATTTTGAGGACAACATAAAGAGAAATAAGAATAGAAATTTTATTGCTAGTGAATGGAATCATTATTGTATATTTTATAAGCAAATCTTGAATATGAAACATAAAGCTATCATTTAATAGTAATTTCTGAGATATCCTGATTCCGCACTTAAAGATGACACACTTACAATGTCTACATTTAAAAAAATTCATATTTGTTTGACAAAGTCTTATTTTAATAGATAATAAGCCAGCAAATCTAAATTCTATTTGGTTCAGTTGACTCCTTATTCTAATGCTATACATACGCTATGAGATCAAGTATATAATACAGGTTTTAAAACTTTGAGTGAAATAAATTTTATTTTCACCACTGGGATTTCCTTTTTTAACCGAACTAATGATTATCCCTTTATGAAGTATAAGAAACATCTATCGAGTATCATGGGAATAGAATTAATGAAATTTTTTGTTGTTTTCTGTTAGATTTTACCTCTGCCTTTAAAATAATAATAACATATAGTATCGTCGTAATAAACTATTAAACATAATTTTCGTCAACATGTCAGTAAAGATGATTTTTTCACTTTTGTTGTTTAATAGAAAATCCGAAAATTGTGCTATATAAATTGGATAAAGGAAAAAGTCACGGAGATTTCTATTGTATTATAGGAGTTAAAAAGGCAAACTGCAATCACCCTCTTAAATAAATACAAGTTACATTTCGATTTATTTATGATGCAATTGAGGTTTGGAAATTTTCTAAGGATCAACCCTAATAAAAATCTTGAAATTAAATGGAATTACATTAATACATATGTTAACTATTTTCATTTATTCCTGGTATAAAAATTTGGGTGTTTTGAGATTTCTTTTTAAATAAGTAAATAAATAGAAAATAATGATGATAGAATTTATTATGAACCAAAAAGGGGATTAAATCTTTTTCAACACTTTTAGGAGAAATAAGCCAGAATTGATGATGCTACTACAAAATGTATAGCTGTGATGTATGTAGGGAGAAATGCACGCTTCAAAAAACTAATTTATATTTTGTTGTAAACAACAAAAAATGAAAAATTATTATTAAAATTCATTGCATCCCTACACTTGATACATTTTGTGAAGTGTCGATATTCTGTTTGTGTATAGCTACTACAAACAAGTGCTGTGTATAAGGGGAATGAAAATTTCAATTTACATTATTCAACCTTTTCAAATTAAGATTTGTTTCTCTTTTTAAGTACGAGAATACCCGAGCAATACTTAGCATTTCATTTCTTATGGGATATAGAAATTTATTGTTGCGGATTATGAAGATGGGCACATTTACAATGTGCAATCATATGCCTCTTTATGTTGTAATCTTTTCGATTATATAAATTATACCCCGAAAATCTTTTTTTTCCCCTGTGTTAACATGCCAACATGCTATGAAAGTATATAATGATTTTATTAAGATAAATCATTCTCTTCATTAAATTGTTGGTCCAATTCAAACAAGGATTTAATTTCTAATTTTCTTTTTCATTTGACTCTTTGCTTTAATAATGTGATGAATTCTCTTATGACCACATAACTCAATTTGACACAAATTTAATTCTTAATTTAAATTCTTACAGGTTTGGTTTCAAAATAAAAGAGCAAAAGTTAGAAAACGTGAACAAACGAAAAAAGGACCAGGAAGACCAGCACATAATGCCCACCCTCAGACGTGTTCTGGTGAACCAATACCACCCGATGAAATAAGAGCTAGAGAAAAGTAAGTTTACATAACAATCATATGCACACGTTGTATCTCATTTTACTAATTCCAATTGTGTAAATAGAGCGAAACGAAGGAAGAAAATTGCAAAGGCCATTGAGAGACAAGCTCGAAAACTAAGAGCGAAAGGAATTACAGTCGATATAGAGGCTTTAAGATCAGAATATGTAGCACAGCATCGAGGGCAATTACTTAGTTCAGATAGTGAAGATAACGACGAAGATCCAATAGATGTCGTTGGAGGAACTGACTTAACAGATGAAGAGTCACAAGACTACACAACATCACCAGACACACCACATCAAAGAAATGAAAGTGTGGAGCATTTAATGAGTTGCAATTCAAATAGTAATGATACTTCCAAGCACAGTTTTAGACCTAATCCATTTAGCATTGAAAATATATTATTTAAGAATACATGAAAAATTATTCACCTACACATAAGCAATAATTTTCAGTCATCAAGTTTAAGATACTAAAGGGTAATCAGCAATTATTAAGTATTTTCGTCTAAGTTAGATTATGAATTATAAATTCATATAAATTTCTATGAAATACCTATATCAATCAGACTTACTTTATGGGCCTTTAACATATTTTTCTTGATATTGTTGGGAAAATTACTAGATTTTTGTAGATCAGTATGATAAAAAAGAGAACATGAGATTTCATCCGAGGGTTACAAATTGCATAATAACCTCATGACGTGGCATTTAAGCCTTAACACACATTTTCACTAGGAGTGTGCTACGCAGTCTGTAATAAAAACCTAAATCCAGTTGAAATTCGACTAGAAATCTAGATAAATTTTCCCAAGAGTAACAAGCCGTGTTCAAAAATCGTCTAAAATTTATGTGAAAATATTATTGTTTCAGCAATTGAAATAACGGAAGCCCATATTAGCAATTTAATGTTAATATTATTATTTCTTTAGTATCTTAATCATTTTTTGTCACAACAATAAAAATGGTGAATCTTACTTAATGTTGTGCAATAATAAGAGAAATGAGAAATATGTTTTTTAAAAAAAAAGAATTTGAAAATCAGATGAAACATATCTTTATGTATTTTGAGAAGACTTTTTTACCTTATCTCATTTGTTTAATAGGTAGCATAAGTAAAAAAAATTGTACTAATAATAAGTTAGTAGAATGAAGTACAAAAATAATACTATAATAATATTAATAATAATAATTTAAGAGTAAGAAATAATAAGAATAATAAAAAAAAATCTTTTATAGCATGAAAGAAAATAAATTGAAGGATATATGATCATTTGTGAATGAAACTTTTTTAAATTCTCAATTGTTTTGCATTATATTTTTTCCTCTCTCTTCTCAAAAATGATCATTATAATCTAATGTATCTTGTTTTGTTTGATCTGACAGCCGAAATGAGTATGATTTATTTAAGATGTGAAAATTAGCTTTTTTTGTTCCATCCGTTGTGATTCTTTACTTGTATTGTATTTCTCTGAAAAACCATTTGAAAGGCACAACAAACAACCCAAACAAGTCAATTTCGTTTTCTTCTTTGAGGTTTTAAACATGAAATTAATGATTTTAAAAGAAGAAAAATTGTTATGACTTATTTAATCCATTGTTGTGCGTTGAAGCAGCCGACAACAGCACGAGAAATAATCATAAAGGAATCGGTAAGAAAAATTAATTTTTTTATGCTTTAAGGTGAGGACGAAATTAGTAACATTTTAGAATTATAAAAAATGAATAGCGATGAACATCACAAAATATATCTATATGTGTATTCCTTATTGAGAATAACAAAGGGAGAAAATTAATTAAAAAGTTGAAAAAATATTTTTTTTTTATAAAAAGTTCGTTTTTTCTTCAATTTTCGATCGTACCTTTTCACCACTACATTATATTTTTTAAATTCAATAAAACATCTTAATCATCTATCCCGTGATTAGTTTTTTTTCTCATTTTCTTTCATTTTGTTGTTATTTATTTTGTATCCAATTTTGGATTTTCATTTCATTCCTGTATATATCTCATAATAAAACTTAATTTCTTTGTTTATCAAAATATAGAGATCCATTGATTGTTTAAAGGTGCTAATGCTCTAAAATTTATGTGTATAAGTCGTAAATTCGAATTACTCTGTTAAAAATGACCATAATCATATTTTTATTATGGAGATTATTATTGTATGGAAAATATTAATTTTTTTATTGACTGTGATACAAAATGTAACAAATCTTTCGAAAGAGGTCGGGGTTAAAAAGGTCTAATTACTCTTGTGATCTTGCTCTTATCAAGACTGACTGTTTGTTAAGAATTCTTTATTGATGATATGTATGGTATTTTTTGGAAATTATGTCTAATACATAATTATCAACTAATATAATTTTTGAATTGAATAGATTTCTAATCGCTAGAAATTTTAATCATATAATAACGAATAGTTTTTGTTACTGACTTATCTTCGTCAATATCACTCTATTAATATACTTTCAAACCCAATTTATAGTCAATCATTTTAGTTAAACCTGAAAGCATTTGATATCACTAATTTAGCACCTTATTCACATCTACAAGTGCCAAAGCTGTAGCAAGTTTAAAGCTTTGAGTCTTCAGTCTTGTTGTTCCCATGACAAAACTGAAATTAATTAAAATCCAGAATAATAGTTATGTTGAAATAGACAAAAATTCGATCGTTAAAATTTTTGGATCCTCCAAATTTATTTTTGTGTAAAATACTAATAATGCCAACCTGCCAGCTTTTAATGGCTGATTAAGACATTATTAAGACCTTCATTCGTAAAAATTTCGTGTCATTAAATTAAGCTTTTAAGTCTTTAATATTTAAATTTGAGACAAACCTCCTTCCACATCAAATGGAATATTGATCTGTCAAAACAGCGCTTTAATCATGTTTTGATGAAAGATTTAGCCTTAAAACTTAAAAAAAAAGTTGATTAAATAAAGCAACAAATTTAATCCTTGGGTCTATTGAATGGAATAAGGAGGCATGGAGTGAAAGGTCTCTACAGATGTATATATTACTTACGTGTGAACATGAAGAACGATTTTAAATTTGTATAGAGGAGATAATGTTGAAAAATTAATAAATTATGAAAATATATTTTTATATCACCTTTTCGGTTCTCTTTATTAATTTTCAAAAATCTTGTAATGAAATACTTTTTTCACGGTATTTTAAAAATGAAATTTGTTAGAAAAATACCTGTGTATCACAGCATCATACCAAATTAATAACTTTATTTATTGTTGTCCTATTGTGTATGATGAAAAATTCTTTAAATTCTTCCGATGGTCGTAAAATATAAATATCAATTATAGGCGAGATGATGAAATTTGCATTTAAATTTGAAGTTATTTGAAGAAATGTCGTTCTATTCATTCGGCTATTATAGACCATAAAATATCATTCTGTTATGATTAGTCATCATATTTATATTATGTATAATATTATTTATAATAGTATCTATTTTAGTTGTTATATCTATCGAAAATCTCTTAACTTATTAAAAGAGTATTTGGACTCGCCGTATACAAAAGGGAACGTTTTCATTCCTTATAGAGAAATCTTGTGTAAAGTTTATTGCGAGACGTTTTCATGATTTTTGCAGATTTCTTAAAATAACATTTCTTCGACATTCTAAAGCATAATAACTTTTTTAAATCCTTATTTTTTTAAATTTTCTAGGTTATAACGAGCATAAGATTGGATTTGACTTCAATTTTGATATCATGGTGAGGATAGAGCAACTTGGGTCTCTAGGCTTCTTATATAAAGAGGTTTAAAATTAAGAAACTGTTCATACAAAACTTAATGTGAAGGCTCTTACATGCACTGTGCAGCTAAAACGATTCTAATCTATCAATGAAAATGTCATTGACTAAAAAAGGTCAGGACTGGGATAATTCTCCTCAAAAATTATTGCTTTGTCATTAAATGGACCTCTTGTTCCGAACCAAACAAAAAGCAAAAATTAAATTCTTCAAAGAAAAATTCAAAAAGTAGAAAAAATTTCAAAAAATAATAATATTTTTTAATAAACATCTCAATCATCAAAAAGCTGGTCCAAACAGTCGAATGCTTAGTTTCTGTCCAAGTCTAACAGAAGAAAAAAAAATGAGAAAAGGAGAGATAAAAGTATTGTCATAATTTATTTCTCTTCGAGTTAAACCTCTATTAAAAATGAAAAGAAATCAACACGAAACTGTTATTAACGAGTGAAAAAGTGATAATTTTTTGACACAGCAGGTATTGCTTCAAACAGGCGTATCAAGCTACTATAAAAGAAAGAAATGAAACGAAATAAAGATATTTTTATGGTTTTTTTTTAAATTCATCTGGACACTTTCAGCTACGTTATTTCTTATTTAAAATTACTAGACACTGATTCGGCATTTTTGATTATTTTTAATCATTTATGCTTTTTATAGATGAAATAATTTTGTGTCTATTAATTTATTAATTTAATCGATTTGAATAAGAAAATAATAGATTGAATTTTAAAATTGCGATTAATGAAATGAGTTATGAATTTATCACTTTTATTAAGTTATATGCTACGTATACATAATATCTCTTTTAACATCAATATTTTTGTATAATAAAATATGTTGGATGTATTATCCGCTTGTTTCCATTTTATTTTACATTCAGGGATCAAAGAGAAATAGAAGAAGAAGAAATGTAAATTTATGTTCAAGTTGATCTCTTAATTTCTTCTCCACAACCTGAAATTGAAATTGAAATAAATGCACAAACATATAATTAAATTTCAAATTATATACCTTTTTTTCGGCACTTTCAAAACAACACAAGTTTTTTTTTGCATGCACAAACCAAGTTCGTTGCTTTAAATTTACTCTCTGGTGTGTTAAATTGAATTGATTTAATACTACCATATCAGTGTCAATTACTCTAAATTTATTCTAAAGTTGTAATTTTGATTCCGAACATGTTATCCCTTTCTCTTATTTCATCTTTCGCATTAGTAGCTAACAACACAAATTTTATTTTGAGACATAACTTTTTATTACCACTATAACCTTATGACAATAACAATCATTTAAAATACTAACCGCTAACCTCCCTACAAATGCCAAGTGGCAACAAAAATGTATCTAAGGGGATAATTGTGATAGTGATACAAAATATTTTGGGGTTGTGAATATTTTTAATACATTTAAAATAAACTGATTTTTTTGTGAAGTTTTTTAAGGAAGCTATGTATCTTTATATAGTGCCTATGAAAATATATTAAACCAGACTATTTTTTAAACTGAACTGATATTTTATTAAACTGTTCTCACCGACTTTTCATAAAAATTCTAGTGTTAATAACAAATACAAATAAAACATCTTAAATTTTTTTGAGCAAAGAACCAAGTAGGAAATACATTTTCAATTTTGGACTAGGGGCGACCCTAGTCAAAATCAAGTTTCTCACTTTTTTCTTTGAAGGTTTATCCAAATGAATTAAAACTTTGCACAAATATTCTAGTGCTTAAAACAAATACAAATAAAACATCTAAAAATTATTTTGAGCAAAGAACCAAGTAGGAAATACATTTTCAATTTTGGACTAGGGGCGACCCTAGTCAAAATCAAGTTTCTCACTTTTTTCTGCGATGGTTTATCCAAATGAATTAAAACTTTGCACAAATATTCTAGTGCTTAAAACAAATACAAATAAAACATCTAAAAATTTTTTTGAGCAAAGAACCAAGTAGGAAATACATTTTCAATTTTGGACTAGGGGCGACCCTAGTCGAAATCAATTTGTCACTGACCGAAAGTCGTGTCGTACAAGCTATAAATCTCGCTAAAAAACCGATATGACTTCTTCCAAGCTAGCTTTTCCCTCCCTAGTTTATAAAACAGCAAGGAGCAGATGAATTTTATGGACTTGAAACTAAAACTTTATCAGAATTTACGAATTTCCAATTTGAAGTTCTATTATCCAAAACGTTAACCTGTTTACCTAGTTCTAGCTAAGTGCTATTTTAGTTCAATTTGGAGCTTCTTTCACAATTAAAAATAATTTTCACCGAAATGCCTTAACGCACCTTTTAATTACACTTTTTCGAATAGATAAATGATTTTTCTGCAAATTTTTCAATTTAAAACTGAAAACTGAATTTTTTATGCAAAATTACGGCTTTAATTATTGATTTTGTTTCTCCAATGAAATTTTACCTGATTTCAATTATTAAAAGTTTGATAAATGTGTGAAAACATCTGGTTTTTCAATTTAAAAATTCAATCCCAAATTTCATGCTGCTGAAAAATGAGAATAGCAATTTTTAAATTTACCTGGAAAGTTCAAATCATGCTGCTTTTTATGTTTTTATTTTATTTTTTAAGTCATTTCCTGAAATTGTTCCATCCTTGTTTCTGATACTTTAATAATACAAACTTCATCCGCTCCAAGGTTATATGCTTCTTAAATTTGCCATATCTCTGATTAGAGTGTGAAGATAATAAGCTCTCGGGCATTAAAGTTCGTCTTAAAGAATAATTTATTTATTTATGTGTTTGATTAAGTTTATAAAAAATAAGTGCGCACACTTGAGTAAATTAAGTATTGATGGAAAGGAATTAAATGGAGAAATAAAGAATCATCACTATTCTACTGTCTAATTAACATAAGTTTTGTGGAAGGAATTTTTTCTTTGAACAATAAATAAAAAGCAGAAAATATCAATAAATTTCATGATCTGTGATTCTCGGATAAGCAAAAATTTAACAAGACACTGCATTGCAGACATCTGGATATTTGGTTTCAAGGATTAAGTCATCATTAAGCCACAAATTAATTAAGTATTTATTCTTTTGTTTGGAAATTGCGCCGATTTAAACAAAAGCTACTAGTACAACTACAAACACATTCTGTGTGGTGAGTTGACCTTAACTGTGGTGAATTTGGTTGCACTTGTGAAATTTTAAATTTTTTAATAACGGAAATATTCAATAAGCTATCTGTATTATAACTATAATAATTTGACGTCAATATTAATTATGCCTGAAAAAGATAATGAGGTTTTTCTCAGAAAACCATTACTTAATCGTACACCCAAACGTAGTAAGAACGAAAATCAAACATCACCTACCAATTCAATGCAAACGATCGAGAAAAATACCGCTAAACGTGATCTTGCATATCTAACGCTTGCAGATCTTTTCATTTTGATTGAATCTAAGCATGAGGAACACTCGCAAAAATTGGATGATTTGAGCATTAACATTGGAAACGATATAACAAATTTTAAAGCCGAAATTAATCAAAAATTAGATGGATCATTGCAAAATGTAAATAAAAAGATTGATATGGTTGAGAAAAAAACCGACCTAAGCTTGCAGATGGCAATTGAAAGTCAAAAACTTTGTGTGAACTACATGAAACAAGCCCGTCTTGATTGTTGTATGGACATTTCTGGATTGAAATTTAACGATGATAATTTGGATTTGAAGACACTTGCTTTCAATACCATCCGATCTTTTAAGATCAACATTAATGAAACTGACATAAAAAAAGTCACTACGTTCGATATTAAAAAAACTAATTCTTTAACTAACAAAATATTAACTGTGAAGTTTGATGATGTTGATACAAAATTACGAGTGTTACGAGAAAAGAACAAAATTAAGGCAAATAATGGAGTTTTCTTCAATGCCACACTCACTCCATCTAATGGCTATTATATGAGAAAAGCTAAATACCTGACAAAAGGATCAAAAATAAAGCCAAAATTCTATGATGGTGCAGTCCATGTAAAAATTCCTAACGGAAATATAATGCTAATCCAAAGTGAAGACAATTTGGAGGAACTTAAAAAATTAATTGATGAGCAACCTGCAATCGTTACTGAAAGTAATCCTCAGCCAATGGATGTCCTTGATGAATAGCAATTATTATCTCCTCTGCCATCACTGCACAATATTGCCGATCCTGAAATTAAAAATATGTATTATAAATCTTTTTGTAGTTTTCGTAATAAAATAACATGTATTAACAACTTGTCTATTATGCAAATTAATGTGAGAGGAATTAATGATTATCCAAAATTTGAAAAGTTCAAAATAATGCTCTCATCATTAAATTACAAATTAGATATTATGGTTCTTGGCGAAACTAAATTAAAACCGACTTTTCCCAAGTCTCTTTACAATTTAAAGGGATATGATATGTATGTTTCTTGTAGGAAATGTTACAAAAATTCAACAGGAAAATCAATTGGTGGTGGAGGATTAATTGTCTACATAAAGAAAGAAATAATTGTCACTGCACATGAAACATTCTCTAGCACATTCGAGAAAATTAAGCTCAATATATATCAAAATATGAAGAAACTTAAATTACTAACATACTACAGACCTCCTGAGTCACAAAAAATCAAAAATATTGAAGAATTTCTGCGTGATGTTGAAGATGAAATATCAAGTGACAATGATCGTATAATGCTTGTTGGAGATATTAATATAGATCTGAATGAGAATTGTCGATATGCAAGTGAATATAAAAATTTACTTAATGGATTTAATATGGAACTGATTAATAATAATATCACACGAGACATAAGCAATAAAATTATAGATCATGTTACTGTAAATTTTAGTGAATCATGTCAAATTTCAATTCATACAATATCACTTGACAAAAGTTTTTCGGATCACAACATGATTGTAACATCAATAGAGGATATGGAAGTTGACAAAATAAATACCAAATTAAGATATTATGACATTCTTGACTATGAGAAATTAAATGAAAGCATACAAACATCTCAAATGCTTAAGGATATCCAAAACATTAGTGACGTAAATTTTATTGCACAAAGTTTGACTGACATCATTTCGGAATCATTAGAATCATCAACAACGAAATTAAAAATTAAGGTCAGAAATGACAATAAAATGATCCCATGGTTAAATAGGCGAATTAGAAGAATTCAAAAAGAAAAAGACAAAATTAAAAGAAAGCTCAAGAAAAAACGTTACTGCCACAAATACAAAGAGGAGTTTAAAGAAATTTCTAAAGACTTAAAAAAGGCCATTAAAATTGAAGAAAAAAAATTTAATTTCAAAAATCTTATGGTTAGAGATCCTAAGGTGCTCTGGAAAAATTTAAATTCTATTCTAGGAAGAAAATCTAAAGATGAAATTAACTCAGTGTTTAATACTAATGGCAAACTGATTGTAAATAAGAACGAGTTAGCAGAAGAATTTAATCAATACTTCCTTGAAAGTGTTAATGAGAAAAAAAATTCTTTTTGGTATTAAATCAAATAAAGAAGGAAGTAAAATTTGTGAACCAATCAGCAAAAAATGGGCAAAAAGTTCATGCGTTAAAAAGATAAAAAGAAATTACTACGAGCACGCCATTTAGCTTTTCTCTCTGCACTGAAAAAAATATCCGAGAGAAATTTCTCTCTCCTTTATGCTGTATATCCGAACAATGAGAGAACTAACACATACATAAATGTTAGACATAAAACAGTAAAGCATAAATTGTGTTGTTACAATCATAATTTACCTTTCTACAAATTGATTTTGTTGTTGTGTTGCTGCTACTTTTTTCCCTTTTTCTCTCTTTCTGTTCCTTTCTCTCTCACAACTTTACACGCCTTTGGAATATGTTCATTCTTGGCAAATGTTTTATATTTCCAGTACAGCCTTTGATGATGTATTATAATGTTATGTGCTGTGTAGATCACTACACAATGCTGAATAAAATAAAATAAAAAAAAGTTTCAAAGAAGGAAATTGTATTGCATTGTATTCAAGTTGCTTTATATTGCTAATAGTATTGGTTCATTGAAATCCTGAAAATTGAAGTTGTGTTCATCGTTTTGCAGTTTTTTTTTTTTTTGATATAAGTGTCTCATTTTTTCAGTACACTCTCATTCTTTGTCGACAACGGATTTTCATATCAAAAAGACAAAAAAAAAATAAAATAAAAACAAGAGAGCTATATACGTGTAATGGAGATAATAAATAAATTAATGGACGAGAAACAAAAACATGAAAATTTGGTGCTATAATTTAAAATATCAAATGATATCAAAAGAAATAAAGTTATCATAACTGACAATTTTACAATATAATGACGACAAAAAAATATTCAATAAATGCTTACGGAAATTAATAGTGTGAAAAATTATTATTGTTTGGTATATTCATGAAACGCAAGCAATACAACAACAAAAACAGCATAAACAAGAAATAATTTTTTCTTTCATGATTGAAGTTCTACTGACATTTCAGAAATGAGTGTGAGGGGAAATGAAAGAAAATAATCTACCTTGTGCATATTGAAAATGATTTTGATTTGCAGTTTTATAAATTCATTTTGATATGCTAAATTGTTTTGAAATAAAATTGATTTACATTACTGGATGTTATATACATACCTAGTTCTTATTTGAAAAGAGTGAAAATATTAAATTATAGATTGCTGCTTAAATGAATATTATGCACAACAATTTTGATGGTGTTTGTTAAACGGAAAATATACATACGGATGGGAATAATAAGAAAAATTAATTGAAATGTTCATCGGCGTTTCTTCCTTGCCATACATACTTCGAATGTGTTTAACTAAAAAGTAATCATCAAGCATATTTATTGTACCTTTATACTCTCTGCCATGTTCTCGATATAATCATCATAAAAACATGTCGGAACCACGAAATTTACAACCAGCACTGCAGTTTTATGCAGCCGCTGCTGCTGCACAATTTACACCGAGATCAGGAATGGTTAATTGGCAACCATTTCTGCAATTTGGAATGTCATTTCTTAATCATCAAACATTATCGAATATTGCCAACAAAAACAGTATTAATAATAATTGTGGAATCGGAATTAAAAATAGCAATAAAAAACCAAACATCGACCACTCATCCCTAAATCCTACATCAAGCAGCGATGATTCAAACGATGATCAGAGTAAGTCCGTCGGAACTTAGCGTTCTTCTTTTCTTCATGCACCCCGTAGTTTTTCATACTCTAAAAAAATAATCTTTTGAAATACTTTTAATGCCGCTTCCTTAGAAGATCTTAGATTAGTCTAAAACTAGTTAAATTTTGATTAGTTTTGATTATCGAATTCATTTGAATTAATAATTTGTGAGACGTGTGATGCTTATTAAATTATGTAAACAAAATAAGTGCCGAATCAGGTTAAATGTTTTTGAAGATTCTGGCGCTGCACTTAAAAGCTGCATCTTGCAAATTAATTTAATATTTTTTTAAAAACTCAAAACACGCTTATTCTCCAATGTTCCAAAATAACACTTATAAATAAATTATGTCATTAGTATGCTTCAAATATACACCAAAAAGGAAAACAAAAAAACTACTTGCATGTGAATAATTAAAAAAAATATGGAACTGCTCACTACTTTTATAAAAAAAAATATGAAAATAACATAAAAATGAATATATAATTTACATAAACTCACTGTATTCAATAATTTCCTTGTTAACATTTTCACATGTATAGCAGTTGAAATTATCATTCCTACAACTACTTAAACTGTGAACATAATTAATTTATAATGTTATCAATTGAATTTAAAATTATTTCATTTCATTTACTGTGTTTTCAACTATCCATGTCATAATATAATTATTGCGCATGTCTTTTATAAACAGGCAATAAGTCAATTTGTGTATACATATATAAGAAGTTCAATTTTGTGACCTGAGGGATTTACTGGAATCTATTTTTGCATAGACTTGGTTGTTTGTTTATTCTGACGCTCAGCGCACATTTTTTATTAATTTTAAATTTAACTCATTCTGATGTGTGTAATTTGTTTGAATTTTGATTTAATGCACGAAAGTCTGTTTACATACTGTAACTGAATCACAAAAATGTCGCTTATGTTGTCATGAAGACAAGTAGGATAATTAAGAACAATAGCATCATTGTAATAGTATAATTAAGTTGCTCAAAATTATAATTCATAGGGAGACTTGTTACTGGTTGAAATTTATGAGTCTCTTAGGAATGAAACAGGGACTAACAGAATGAATAGAGATGAAGAAGTTTGATAACTTTTTCCTTGCAGCTGAAAATTAGAAGTAAGGGAGATATTTCTTTACATTTCATTAGCACAATTATTTCGCAGAAATTCTATGAATCTTAAAAACATTTTAATTCTTTTCCTGGATCTTTTCGGTATTCAACTACTGACTAATCGATCAGTTTAACTTAAATATTAGCGTAATTTTAGTTTTCTCCCTAACATAACGAAGCAAATTCATTCCGAGGACCATACCTAAACCTATCTACTTAAAAACCTTTGATCCATATTAGATTTTAAGATTTAATCTATTTTCTTTTTAAAAATTGACAACTGATGTAGAAATATTCATACAGTTTATGAATTTATGTCAAAAACAAATTTGCAAAATTTTTCAAGCATCTTAAACCCCACTTATCATGTCCAGCATATTTATTGCCAACATTACGAAGAAAAAAAAAATTCAATTCTTTAAATTCATTCTATATCCAAAAGCTACCGACTCCAATCATTTCAATTCCCTTTCACACTTCAAAATTCTATTTGGGATCAATAAGCTGTAAATAATGTTGTTACGCCTTGGGATAGCCATGAATTCATTCAAATAAATAGAAAACAAGTGCGTACGACTTTTTTCTGAATAGAATTAACTTTTACTATAAAGAATTTTAAACGTGAATATAAAAAGGGCTAAACAGGATCATAAATTGTACAACATTAAAATGGTTGGAGAGAATGTAAGCAAGATGATAAGTTGATCCCCTGAAATTAAAACTTTTTAAATTTGTTATGATTTGTTATACCCGACTAGAGAAAAAAAAATTAGTTCTGGTTTATTTAACTGATGAATTAATTTCAATTGTCAATCAAAACAATTAATTTGTTTCTATGCTTGAGATTGATTCGTCAAAATTAGTCTTATTATTCAAATGAATTGAATTAATTGTAGCTAGAGTATGGAAAATCATACTTTCATTTTCATCGGAAGTTTCAAGTGAAACGGAATTGATGGAAATCAATTGAATTTTTCATTAAATTTGTAATCGTTTATACTGCTTTTCAATTTGAATGTTGTGAGCATGCTCGTTGTTTAATAAAAAGTAGAGTTTTATCAAATAATTTTAATTCAGCATTAATTCTTTTGAGTTTTGCGGCTATATAATTAAATGTATTTAAGAAAAATTAATGATTTGTTACAAAATTAATTTGTTCATTTTCTCAGGTTCTCACGTAGATGAAGACAATAGTTTTTCGAAAAAAAGACGATCTAGAACTAATTTTAATTCATGGCAGCTTGAGGAATTAGAGAGAGCATTTTCAGCTAGTCATTATCCCGACATATTTATGAGAGGTAACAATATTAGTTAAAACAATTAATAAAATACACGAAGAAATATTTATTACTGTAGAAGCACTAGCAATGAGACTGGATCTGATAGAAAGTCGAGTAGCTGTATGGTTTCAAAATAGGTAAGCTAAAATCATAAATTTTGCACATTTAAAGAATTAAAAGCACATAAATTGAATAGACGAGCTAAAGTGAGAAAGAGGGAAAATACAAAGAAGGGTCCAGGCAGGCCGGCACATAACGCACAACCTCAAACATGTTCTGGAGAGCCAATACCATCAAATGAGATAAAAGCTCGAGAAAAGTAAGTAGTTTTGAAACCATTTTGTAACAACTTAATAATTTCTTTGTGGCATTTAGAGCGCGCCGTAAGAAAAGGATTAATAAAGCTGTTGATAGACAAGCACGTAAGCTTCGAGCTAAGGGTATTTCAGTAGATATGGAAGCTTTGAGAACTGACTATGTTGCACAACAATATGGACAAAATTACAACACATCAGATAGCGACGATAATGATGAGGATACAATCGATGTAGTAGGTGATGCAACAGATGGAGATTCTCAACGACAAATAGACTGTATAGATTATAATAAAACTTCCAAAAATTTCTCGAAGACAAACTTTTTTAGTATTGAAAGAATCTTATGTAAAAGTTCGTGAAATATGCTATATTTAAAGTTATTATATAAAATGATTAAAAAATCTTAAACTGAAGTCTTGAGTAGTATTCATTCTTCATTAAAGTTTAAGAAAGTAGAATGGCAATATAAAATATATAATTATGTTAACTAAAATATTCTCCACCAGACATTATGGCGGGATATAATTTAAATACAATCATAATTTTCTACAACCTACCTTCTACAGTGTTTTCCTAAAACGTGTGATCTCATACACAGATTCATATCAGCAGGATACCTAAATACGTTCTTGTTAAAATAGCAGGCACACAAATTGGTTTTAAATTATTTTAGTCATGTCAAAATATAAGCAATATTGCTTATTTGAAGTTTTGTTGGAAGTTTATAGTTTTCAAAGCAGTTTATCCTTACTAAAATGTCATTGACTAATTTTTTTATAAAAAAATCAAGACAATTTCCTTAAATGATAAAAAAACTCGATTTTACTAAATTACAGCTTTATGTCCTCTTTGCAAGCATTTTTTTGATGAATTCAGTTCCAATCTTTGCTTTAAAACTTTCGAATACTTTACCTCATTTAAAAGCGTGTTTTAAGTAAAATTGAAGTGAACATATATGCTAATTTAGCACAGATACCGGCATGATCAAGAGCTAGAGAACTAGAAAAAACATTACCACCTCACATAACATGCAAATTATTCATATTGTGCAACATGGCGTAAATTTAATATTAAATTTCATATTTCAGAATGACAATACATTATTTATGGAAATAAAAAAAGAAAACCTCAAAAAACTATAACAAAGTATTAACAAAGTTTGTTTACCTCAATTTTATTCTATTAGGAAATTCAGTGTTCAAGTGTCTTTTGTGATTCCCCGACACTCAACGAAATGAAGCAACAGGATCATCATAATTAAAATTAAATTTGATATGCAAGTTTGACATTTTCATAAAAAATATTTACGCGATTATTCAGATTTATCTATTCGCGAGGAATTAATACGAAAGATATGTTACACTAAGACGATTGAAAGCTCAAATTTTATGCCGCATAATGTATTAACTCATATTTGTTTTAGTTCCTGATAGTATTATTTATTGCCTCGAGAGTTATATTTCTAGAGAATTTTACATGCATCCGATCGCATTATTTGTGATGTTCTACCTCGTCTCACTGATAAAGTTGCCATTCTTATTTGTGATGAGGTTCCACTCACACGGATCTAATCTACATAGTTATAAGTCATAAAAGAAAACAATGTATTTTCAGGAATTTCTATTGTTCTTTTCTTGCTGACCCCCCCCCCCCCCCCCCTGGACGCCATAAGAGAATATATTTGAAACATCTAGAAGAAAAGTAGCAGGTTCCGAATTAAATCTGTCATTTAATATCATTATATAATTCCTTATTATAAATAGGTTTTGAATCCTAGCTTGCACAAATTAGCCCAGTTGGTATTACATTTTTTACATTATCGCTCAAAAATTAAAAACGTTTGTAAGCATGTAAAGTGGAATCGTGCAAAATATGAATTTGTTTAATAAAATCCAATTAATATTTCATTATTTTCCATGCATGACCGTAAATGATTCATAAAAGCTAAAAATCACTTCACAATAATAACAAATTACAATTTAATTAGAGTTAATCAATAAAATGTTATGGCTGCTTCTATGGATGTTATTTTATTCACGACTTCGACTAAAAGAATGTATAATTTCATTCATTTAGTCATCATATTATTTAACTTCGTTGACTATTTATCAAATTTTTTTTTTCGAATGGCTTGAATAATTAATTATAACCATTAATCCATACTACTTATTTGGTTAAATTAATTGATTCACAAATTATAATGATGTGGAGAGAAACTTGTCATCAATAATAAAATATTGATTAATTTTTTATGAGCTGGCTTAAGAATAGATGAAATTTTTCATAATTAGCGACGTGTTTATTTTCTTATTAACGCTCAATGTTTTTTAACAAATTATTTGAATGAGTAAAAGAAGCTTAAGCTTACAACCTACCTCTAAAATATTGAAAAATATTAAATAAAATGTAAATTTTATTTTCAACTCGTTTCTTTACACCTCTAAATGAGATAGAAAGCACACTTTGAACAACTGAATGGTTGTGGCATCTATAATATGAATACTAATGGGCTTTTGGAGGTCAAGTCTGTCACAAAAATTTCCGTTTCTTTCGGGATCCTATTAGATTGAATTTTGTTTTAATGTTCGTTTAATTTTGGTGAATTTTGTCAAATTATTTTAAAAAATTTACAAATTAACTGATTTCAGCAATTGAAAACCAAAATATCGTTGAAATCTTAAAAGAAATTAAAATGATTAATCGATATAAATGCGCTTTTATTTTCTATGACGCGTGGATAATCCTCTAATATTTTCGAATTCAATTGAAAATATTTGTGTTTTGTATTGATTTATAAAGACGATGATACTTAGGAGTAGCATGGCAAGTTATAAGGCATTTTTAACGGTCTTATCGTATCCATTTAGCAGAAAGTGAGTGCTGAACCAGGCTAATGAGAAACTTTTGTATTCTGGAACATTAGAAAAAATATTCTTCTTTTTCGTTATAAGTTTATGGTAAAATAAGCTTGACTAATTCTTTTTGGAACTTCTGGGCATTCATCATCATTACATTTGATCAGCTTTACCATATCTTAATGAATAATCTCGACACGAAAAAATAATTGAAATAATAACTTTTCTCTAACCCTTGTAATGCTTCTAGTTCTCTTTTGTTTCAACCGCATTCTCATTCTTAGTCTTAGATTGCTCGATTTAATAAATTATCTATCATGTTGCTATGTGAAAAGATAATTGTACCTGCAAGTATATTTTGAAGTATGTTTACAAGGGAAACTCATTAATTAAAAGTTTTCATTATAAGATAAATGGTTTCTTCTTTCAAGTTTTTCTTAAACCCCTTTTTTTCGTATTTTCCTAAAGTGCGTTAATAAGAGACCTTTGAAGTTAGATTACATTATTTTCATTTCTTGGATATCTCATTTATAGATTAAGACATAGTGAAAAATTTAACACGCGGTATTGAAGTATTTAACATTACAAAACAAAATTCAATTTTTTTGGAAAATGTTGAAAGCACAAAATAAAATAAATGATGAATTAAAAATTGTTATGGTTTAATAACTCTTGATGAATTTATCCATTTTAAAGCAGCCAGCTTGTTTTTTCCTTCATTTATCATAAATTCTAATAAATAATTTTAAGTGCACATTATGAAACAATACATCTTCCATAAATGTTACAGTGTTAATCCTTTTACTAATGTGATGTTGCTGTTAATGTTATTTATGAAGCTTCTTTACCTTAACCGTGTATTACCTTTCACACGTAGTGTGTAAGTTATAGATTTTAAGATTGATCCGTCTCTTTTAAGTATTTTTATATTGTAGTGAAATTACCGGTAATTGTGCAATAAACCTCATGACTCAGGCTTCATAATAATTTTGGAGATTCAAAGTGATCTTGGAAATTTTTTAAAAATAATTGATTGTATGAATTTAACATTATAAACTCGTCTTTTAAATTTTATTGAGTACTATCTACATATCTTCTATTTTTTGCAAAGGAAAAAGCCACCTTAAATAGAACTACAAAAAAGATTAGTGATATTAGCAGACATTTGGATGGCAAAAGATCACAAGGAAGACCAAAGAACTCGTAGATTGGATGTGTTGAAGAGGACGCTAGAGTTCTTAATATCCCGAACTGGCAGAATGTTTCTAAGGATAAAGCTGTTTTCAGACGATCTCTAAGCGCGGCATTGAGCTCAAGTGCACCCAAATCCCAAATCCAAGTTGTTCCCCAAATCTTTTCAGAATACACACATTCGCATTTGAAAACAATATTATTTAAATTCAAAACCCACTTTACCAAATTTTAAAGTATGTTAAAAACAGGTTTAAAATTTTATTAAAGCTAGACAGAATTTATGCAACATATATGACGCAAATTAAAAAAATAGAGACTAGCATTAAAAGTTCAAGCAAATTCTAAGCAAGTTGAAAAGGAAAGAGAATGAATGAATTCTTTAAAAATGCCAATTACTATTTTTGAAGCATGTTTCACTCTAGGTTGAACAAGACAAAACAAATTTTTAAATTCCACGCGGAAGCTAATTTAAAATAACTTAATTTACATTTTTTAACTTCAAACATGATCAAATCCATCAAATCTCAAAAAAATTAAAGTAAAACTTATGAATTCTTTAACTGATTTTAAAATTTTGAATTTTTTAAATTTTCATTATAAAGTGTCTTAACTACCCTGTTTTTTCGTTATAAGCTAGTAGCTTAGAAGAATAAAAAAGTGATTTTTTTGGATCACTAGTAGCTTAGTAACGAGTAGTAGCTTAGTAAAGAAATTGAACTTTAATGAAAATTTTGAATTTTTTAACTTAATTAAAGAAATTTTGCTATCTTCTCGATTTCATTTCATTTACAATGTCATAAAGCATTGAAACAGATACTTAGAAAATTGAAAAAGATTAGTTAAACTGTATTTTTGGTAGTAGCTTAGTAAAGATTATAAAAAATTTTCAAGTTCAAAAAAACCTTACTTATCTAGTAGCTTAGTAACGAGTAGTAGCTTATAACGAAAAAACAGGGTAATCTTGCCAGTGTCAAAGTCAAAATTATTTAACAAATCTATGATAATTAAACTTCAATAACGAACTTTCGTTTATATTCTGTCTTTCATTACGCTTTATCCTATTCATACTGTTGTAAAATGTATCAAATCACTTATTGAAAATGTAAAATAACAAAAGTTCAGTTTTAAAAGATAACACATGTTAACAATATGCGTTATCTTTCAAAACTGAACTTTTATTATTTTACATTTTCAATGAGTTCTTTGATACATTTTAAAACAACGACAACCTAATTACATCGATTTTTTTGATTCGATTGTTGAATCTTTCAATTATTTTTCAAACGATCTATATTCTTTGACAAATACATTATGTTTCCCTGCCTAATGTAAAATCCCTTATTTCCCCTCCACACCAAATAGAAGTTTTCAATCTGTTGAAATGATCAGATTTTGAAAAAGGGTGCAGTTCACATAGCGACATCTTGTGATGAACACTGAGTTAAATTAATTTATAAATTATTTAACTGCTATTGAAAATTTGAAGTCTTGATTTCACAGTGTCTTCACTAATTTAAAAGGGAGCAACTGACAAAGTTAATTGAATTTTTAAACAGTTTTATTAAAGATGCTCCCATTGTATTAGTGTTCAATTTTCATTTAAAAAATTGTATTTTTAATTTGAGCGCCAAAAATTATTTTAACACTTAATTCAATTTATAAAATTTTGATTCTTTAATTTTGTAGAAATAAAAATTATTAAAAAACTTTCAATAATTTATATTCTCGACTTGATGATAGGTGTAAATCAAGACGTTGGAGAATATAGAATAAAGATAAACGATCTCATGAGTTGTGACAGAGATGCAGCGTATTCTTTTATATGCAAAGTTTTCTTATCATAAGTGAAACATAAAGATCCATTTACTCATATTCATATGGATAGAATTCGTAATAAAATAATCAACACATATCAAATGTACATTCTTCTACATTTCTATAACGTCGATTTCGCTCCGTTGATTTTTGGGCCATCATGCATGAAACTATGCACACATTCAAAATTCTTCTATCATCTTGTTACGCTCTTTTTGTTTTGACTTTTGACTGAATATAAAAAAAAAAGTATAAAATTTATACTTTCGTATACATTCACTTGAAAACATTACTTATAGTATTCGTAGCACGAGCATATGTGAATGAGTTCGGGTATCATCGTAGTTAAAAAGACATGTGTAATATTCCAATATTCAATTCTGTTAGTTAAAAATTTACTGCCGGCGAGTAAGCAAAAAATAATTTTTAAATCCCGAGAAAAATGTTTTTTTGAATAAGACTCGAGAAAAAAAAAATATTATTCGGTAGGAAAATGTGAAAATTAAATTTAGAAACTTTATTTTCAAATATTGTGTGAATAAATTGTTTCATTCTTTCACCTACACCTAAACTATAGAGCAAACACTGCTTGACATAGAACTTTCATATCCTTTCATTCATCATATTGTGCATTGTTTTCAAGAATAAGTGAAGGAAAACTATCGAAAGAAAAATCATTAACGGTTCTCGCACGAAACAATGTGTGTTATTGCTGTGTGAAGTAGCTAGATTCATAAAAATAAAAAAATTTTTACAAATTAAATCAGAAATAGAAGTGAAGAAGCAATGGAGATAAAATTAATTTCTATGGTTTTATTTTTAATCTTTATGAAAGGTAAGTGATCACATCTATATATTGGTCTATTGTTTAGACTCGATCGCGTATATCACCAAGCTCATAAATTGTACTGAAATGAAATCACACGTTTTTAAAATAGATCATCATAGTTTTAATAGTTTTGAAATATCTTCTATGATGTAAGTGATGTTCTTCTCGTCGAAAAATCCTAAATATTTACGAAAATGAAAAGAGCATAAAGTCACAATCGGTAAACTTGAACGCATTTCAAATGAAACAGCTGCACTTAGGAAATTGAATTATTAAATGAGATATTTGTTTTGAAATCCCATTCATAAGTTGATTTATGTTGGCATATAAATCAATTAATGATCATCAAAATCAATTAAGTGCTTATGATAATGGATTTTTGTATACATTAGGTATCTGTTTAAATAGAGGTCGGGTCATAGAACATTAGGTGGCGTTGAATTGTAGACACATCTAGTTTGAGGACTTTAATAAATTTCTCATAATTTTTATCGCAATTCTTTCTAAAATTAGCCAATCATGTGCGAATAAGTTGTTGTTAATTGATTGTTCTCATTTTTAATTGGAGTCTGCAAAAAATTATCCAATACAGAGCATCCGTTTCCTTATTTAATTGTGCATTACAAATTTTCTAGATAAAAAAAAATTTCTTTTTTAAATTCTGCATGGCTGTATGAAAATACAAATTTTCAATTTTCTGCTTATTTTATTAATCCCGGCAGACATGACTCATTTTAGAGACAAAATTAAACTTTTAAACGAAAATTTTCATGAAAAACTAAAAACACTTTCAAAACATTTCTGTAGGTCATGTAAAAGCGCATTTTTTTCATTTACAATCTCATCTGTAAACAAAAAGTGAGGATTAATAACTTTATTGCACTGAAAAAATAATCAAAATAAAATTATCTGTAATTCAAGCTATCTGCTATATGTGATATTTCCTATAAAGGTCGATGGAAAATAATCAAAATTGCTATGTTGAATAAATCTCATTTTTTAAGGAATCCAACCTGTTGCATATAAAATTTAGGTCTTTATGTCTACTTTGAGAAAATAACGAAGGGCTTTAGAGATCCGATTTATTAGAATTGATGTCTATTTAGGGAATTATTGAATTGATAGGTCCATTTTAAGGAAACAGAGAATAACCACTAATTAAGGTTCATAAATGAATGACAGTCCTTAATATTAATATTTTCTAAATCCAGATGCATTTACAGCAAAGAAGTTTTTAAAACTCATTTCCATATCGCACACATTGAAAAAATAAAAGAAGTACGAAGAAGTCATCAAGAAATTTTGATCATAAATCGAATTTTCCAGACAAAATCAAAGGAAAGCTTAAAGCTTTAAATCGGCAGACAGTTTCTTTCTGAAATTAAAATTTTATATTTGTTCTCGATGACAGAATTAATGCAATTAGAGTTGAAATGCGTTAGGTGTTTAGCATGCTCAACTAAATTTATATATAAATACATTTCCATAAATAAAATGTATGGCATCATCAAGTGGCAATAAAACAGAATCGCAGAAATATAATTTTTCTTTCAGTACTACAAGAAAATCTTTTTTTCTTCTCGCTCTTAGACGTATGGGGAGCACATGTGATTGTTTTTCATTCATTTTACAGTAATTTGGACTAATGTGTAAAAAAAATATAAATTTTTTTAAGATTTAAGAAATTTACTCAACTGAATGCGAAATTTTAACATTGCTGTATATGATTTTTTTCCTGATTTTTCAGCATGTAGAACATCAAAAATAAATAAGGTGTTAGTTCCTTCATATTATTTGGAAGATAGCAGTTCCGAAGAGTTGATATTAAATTGCGATTTTGAGATAGGCGAGAATGAAATGGGATTTGTTCTGAAATGGCATCATAACTCTGTTCCTATATATCAGTGGATTCCACAAAAGAAGCCTTATGCTTTGGTAAGAAACCTCAACTTTTTCCTCAAATGACATATTTTGAATAAACGTTTATTGTTTATATAGAATCACTTTAAAGACCGAATCAATACTGAATATTCATCATCTGATGAAAAATATAAGAAATATAGTGCCTTGGTAAGATAAATGAATTTTAATGGAACTGAAGCATTCAATCATTGTCCCTCTTTTTGTTAATAGGCTATCAAGAAACCATCAATTACAGATACAGGGAATTACACATGCGATGTTCAAACTTTCCAAAGCTCAGACAAGAAAGGATCACAAATGATTGTTATTCATCCACAAAATTCAATCAACTTAAAGTATACTATCGACGAATCTGAGCAAATTGTTAATTTTGAGTGTTCTGTTTTTAATATTTATCCATTTCCAGAAGTGAAATTTTTGTAAGTTATTCGCTACTACTTATAAGTCTTGAACTCATGTTCTGGGTGTCTATCAAGCTGGATTTCTTTAAAAATGCACACTGAACAATATTTAAATATATAATTCTGAATTTGTTTATTTTAAAATGTCAAATGACAATTGTGGATGATTTCCTTAATTTCTTAGAATTTTGCACAAAAAAAGCTGATTGATATCCAACACATGGTCCATTGCTTGACTCAGAAGCTTATGATTCATTTTATTCTGCTGTAGATTTGACGACGAAGAGAAAAACCTTTCAACAGATGTTGATTATAGGAATGTAACGAGTCTTTATAATGTTACGATCACAGCCCAAGTTAGCAAGAATGATATTAGAGATGAGTCACTAGTGACGTGTTTGATGAAAATAAACGATACGGATTATGAAAGGAAGGAGAGCATCATCTATGACGGTATGTTGCTGAAAATAATTGTTTTGTCTTTTTCGAAGATTTATTCTGCTGATTTGCAATGATTAATTTGTAAAGCAAATTATAATATAATAAGGAACAAATGAAGCATTTTGCTTTTGGGATATAATTTAGCATAGATGTAAAAAAAAAATGTGAAAATTCTTAGTTCAATTGGATCATAATTATGCAAACTACGAAAAAAAGAAGCTTATTCATCAAATCATTTTTAAATATTTTTTGCCAAGAAATTTTTTGTTTTTTGTTTTGTTTTGCATTTATTTTTTTTTTTTTGATAAATTGGATATATCATATGGAAAAATGTGTATAATAATTACAGACCCCAAGCAAACGTCAACTAGTAAAATATCAATTGATGGAGAAAATATGCTTGCATCTGAGTTGAGTAACGGTAAGAAATTTAAATTTAGGCTTTTTAAAACAATCAACCGAGTATTATTTTGATTTAGTTTATAGAAACAACAATTTTCTTGCACAATAAATCAATCATGTAAAATACCTAGTTCCAACTTTTTTTTGAACAAATTTTTTGTCAAATTTTCTTCAATGCACTTTTTTTGTTAAACATTATGTGCTTATTGATTCATATTGAACACTTATATACATTTTCTCACTAATTAGACTTTGGCATGTATACTACGTACTGTATATGTCGTATATTTTGAAATATTATGGTTATTGGAGATTTCAAAATACATTTTTCTAAGGATTTTGACCTGACAAGTGACAAACTTTAATGATTTAATGAACTTAGCGAGAAGTTTCGGTTTATTTAAAAATGCACAGTTATGTAAACTATCATCATTGACACATATGCCAGTGGATCAGATTTTAATAATTCTAAATAGTGTAGCAAATGTAGATGTCCAAACTAGAACTTCTGTCTTCATATATAAACTCGTCTCCAAGGAATGAAAAAGAAAACAATCTACTTGCATATTTTTTCTGCATGTAGATTCAGTCTACAATGTTGTTTTTGAACTGCATGTAGACAGATTCTACAACAAAGATTTTTTAACTGATCCAGACCATTTCCAAGAATGCTCAACTGATTTCTAATTTGGAATGTTAAGACTAAATTTAGAGTCTTCGTTTTAGGATTCTCCAAATTTCTGGGAAGTTTAAGATTGCAATTAAAAAAGTGTGATTTTTTCATTTGTTGAGAATTAATTATTTTCTTGATCCTTGTTAAGCCCCTGTTACTCTTTTAAATTGAAAAATTATTAAGTTCAATTCCTTGAAAGCACTTAATAACTTTTAAAATTGAAAAATATTACGAACAGATAATGTGAAAATCAATTAATAAGATTTTTATGATCAAACTTTTAAAACACAAGACGAACATTCAGACTATAACTTTTTGTATCATAGACTTAAATGTTGTTTAAAACTTTTTGAAAATCCCATTTAAAATTGATTTTTTTTTTCTACTGGCACGAAATAGATTTTCCTCAATATTTTGATTCTATATTTTTAAGTAGATATGTACTTGAGCGTAGATATTAGCCAGTTATATATTTTATATTTGATTAAAAAAATACAGCAGATTTTTCCTCAAACTTTCTTAATAGACTAAGAAAGTCTAAGAACAACATAATTTATTAAATATTACTTCATCTTTTCTATATTTTACAGAAAATCACGGAACAATCTCCAAACCACATCTCGGAGTTTCCATCATCATTTTAATAAACATGGTTTATGGTCATCTCTTATGATGTATCAACAATTGAACGACTAATCATTGTAAATGATAAACAAATCGTGTTAAAAACATGAAATTTTATGTTTGTGTTGTGAATGACTGCTTTCGTAGCTCATGTATATTAACCAAAGTTATTTAAATTATTTGTTTAAGATTTTGTTCATCTGTGACAATTGTTAACAGTGTCATGATTCTTTTTTCGCCTCAATAATCATTTGACCACATATTGAGAAAAACCAACGCGTTGATTTTTGGATACATGACATGATTTTTAAAAGTGTTTACAATTAAAATATTCATTTGACATTTGAAAATTGAACCAGATAATTTTCATAGCACACGGTTGCCATGTGGATAACGTAGAACTATGAAAAGATGTCAAATGATTCTAAGGCAATATAGGATGCAAAAAATAGATAAAATGATGGTAAAGTCTAACGGAAAGAATTCTCAATAATGGAAAAATGGATATTAAATTTATGAATTTATTTAAAAAATTATATTTTTTTCTTCTTCTTTTCAATAATCAATTGAATTTTAATAGAGTCTAATAGGGTCATTCACTTCTCTATTCCCTCCTTTGTCACTAAATCACAGTCCTTACAAATAAACAAACCTTGAAGTTTTGAATTTGAAATTCTCTTCATGTGAAGAAAATTGTTCAGGAAATGAAGAAAAGTTCATTTTTGGAAATGCTTCAAAAATCTGTGAGGCTTCATAGTATTTTTCCATGTGTATAGAAAATTCTTTATCAGGATTGGTGATTTTATCATGGAAGTGGAACGTTCTCTGATTGGTGATTTGGTTCGTTTGAATTTATTTCTACATTACAGGAAAATGTTTTTAGTGGTTAATTGAAGCCTTCACACTGATAAATCTTATTCTGCAAATTTGAATTTGTACTTTCATCATTCAATTATATGCCCCGTTTTGATAATTCTTTAATTTGTATTTTTAAAGCCTTCCTTTCATTCAATGAATCTGTTTTAAGAATGTGAAATATTTTTAAATAGGTGTGGATTAACATTTCAGTATTAATAAATTTTCAACAAATAAATAGGGAATTACACAATATTGTACAAGAAATGGAAAAAAACAGCTTTTCAAATCCTTTTAGTTGGAGATTTTTGAAATAAAATCAATGCACGAATTAGCTGTACTTTTTAAAACATTTCTCAAATTTTTTAAAAAATCATTTCATATTAAAAGAAATTCACAATGTAAAATGTTTATTTTATTTTCCTTAAAAGTTCAAATTAATGGATTTATAAGAAACGAAGGACATCGAGTATTTCACACATTTGAAGAAAGAAAATTGGATGTTAAAATTAAAGTTACAAGTTTCAATTGATTTATTCATAAATGATTAATTTCAGCACATTTATAATTGCATAAATTTTTAAATGAAAATGAATGAATACTTTGAAAGATAAAGGATTTAAACATAATAAAATAATAATTAGTCTTCTATTCACTTTGATAATTCTGTCGTCTTAAAGAAGACAATTTTCTTCGTTCCATCAATAATGACTGCTCAAGCTCTAATACTTTTACTTGAATTTCCATTTCTCTCGTTTTTGCTTGATGAATGGAAAGTTGAGTAAAATCAAATTCTTGATTCTCTTCCAATTGCTGACTACAATTTTTCGATGTAGCTACAACAGCTCCAACACATTCGGTCACATCTTTAGAAGCTGTTTTAAGCTCAGACAAATTTTTGCTGTCGCGTGGGGCTTTGACACGTGACGAAACAACAAGAACAGCAACACAAGCAGCAATCTAAGAAAATCTCAATTGAATATCAATTTAATGTTTTCATAATATGGATTTACCTCTTGAGCAGCGACAATGACATCATACATATGATTCGATTGCTCTGTTACAGCCTTGTTTGCAGCATCTCTGTAAATTGATAACTATGATAGCCTTAACGGATTTAAAAACTAATTAAGTTCCTTACACCAAAAATTTCGCACCAGCTGCAACTGATTTTCCAGCAGATATCAATCCTTCAGTCCATTGGTGGTTTCTTTTATAAAATTCTTTCGTTGATAATGATCCTTTTCCACTTGCAACAATTTCATTTTGAACCTTTCTAGATTTCTGTACCAAAATCTGGATGCACTTCATAAGATTTGTGCATGATTCAAGAATTTTTTCATTAACTTCAAGTTTGATTCCATTGTCAGATGCACGTGATTGCGTTAACATTTCTGCAATTTTCTTTGCTGCCTCTTCAACAGCACGGTCCATTGAATTTAATTCTTTCTCGACCAAGTCTTCTAATTTATCAATTTCATCTTTATTACTTGTAATATCACCTACCATATTGGTTATTAAATAAACTTGTTCCTTTAATTTTTCAACATTAATTTTAACTAATTCGGGATCTGAATCATTTAACAATAACTTGAATAGTTCCATCATCGAAGTTCCATAATTTTTGATTTCGTTGGCAATTTCTATGGATTAATTTTAAGCATCAATTGTTAATTCAATCACATATTTTAATTAAACTTACTTTCTCCAGAATTTATATTTGTCAATGTGTTACAAATCGCCATTCCACGATCATAAATTAAAGTAAACAAATGTCCCGAACTTATAATGCTTCGAGCAAATCCTTCGGCATTCAAATTATTATCTTCACTAAAGCTCTTATAAATGATTGTCAATTTTGTCAAAAGATCTTGCAGTTCATCCGAAAGCATTATAAAGTAAGCTGAACTAGTTTGAGTACCTGGTGTTTCACCTTCTTGAACACTACGAAGACTAAGCTCTTCAAATCCTTTCAAAACTGTTTTCATTAAGGCACTCAATGCTGCATCATTTTTGATTTTCGATTGTAAAAGATCCCCATCAAATTGAGTTTGTAATTCTGTCGTACGTCTCTCGATTTCTTCCTGTTGATACAAAAAGTCTTGAACGTCATTTTCTAAATTTCCCTTATATGTTATTAATCGGGTATAGTTAATAGTAAGTGACTAAAATTATTAAATTAATTGTCAGTATTCATTATCACAATTTTATCAGTTCTGGGGAAATAGCGCTAACATATATGATGTTCTGGGAGCTAAATGATAGGAAATTAAGTGTAACGAACTTAAAATTGCGATAAATTGCTAATAATTATGGAATTGGATTAAGCATCAAACAGAAGTAAAAATTTACCAATAATTCTTGTTCTTTTTCTTTGAATTTAGTTTTAAGCTCTTCATTTTCATTCGACATAGTTTCCTGCATTTCCTTAAAGTTTTCTTCCGATTTTGCTATATTCTGAGCATACATTTCTTCAATTGTTTCCTTTTCATCTTCTAATTTGGCAACATTTTGTGATAAGTCTTCACATTTCTCTTCAGCTTCTTTTAATTTGGCCTGTAATTCTTCAATTTGAGCATCTTTGTTGGAATCAGTTTCTTGGAATTGAGCTTGTATGTTTTGATTCTCTTGCTGCAGTTCAGCAATTCTCGTCTCAAAATCTAAAATTAATTCTTGTTCTTTTTCTTTAAACGTTGCTTCCAGTTCTGCTTTTTCATTCGTCATCGTATTTAACAGTTCTTTATAATTCTCATCAGATTTTATTGAAGTCTGACTGTAATTCTCTTCAATTACTTTCTTTTCTTCTTCCAACCTAACAACATTGTTAAATGCAGTTTCACATTTATCTTCAAATTCTTTTAGTTTAATTTGCAACTCAGCAATTTGTGCTGATTTGCTTGAATCAACATCTTGGAACTGATCTAATAAATTCTTATTTTCTTGTTCTAATGACGCAATACGTTTTTCATATCCTTCAACTCTTTCTGTTGTTTCGGAAATGCTTTTTTGTTGCAATTCTGTAATCTTTGATCTTTCCATTTCTAGTTCATGTAATTTAGATTTAACTTCTTCATTCTGATTAGACAATTCAGACATGTTTTTTTGATTTTCTTGCAAGGCTTTGTTCGTTTCGCCATGCTGCATAAAAAGTCGTGACAAAATTAATGTTGAAATAATATAAAACTTTATAAATGTTTATGACAAGTTTACCTTTCGTAGCAAGTTAATATGTTCATCACGAATTTGTGTATACATATTCTTTAGCTTTTGGAATTTTTCCTCGGTCATTTTTGATTTTTCCTCTTCGAGCAAGACTTTTTCTATAAATAAAATTAAAATTCAATGACCTCATGGTAATATTGCAAAATGATTGATTGTACTAACGTTCAAGATTTGGTGCCGTCTCAGCTTTTAATTCTAATTCTTCATTTTGAAGTCCTATAAAATATTTTAATTAGAATCTTAGATTGCTTTCTAAAAGGCATTAAGATTTACTTATTTGGACCACTTCATTTTGCAATTCAGCCAATTCTGATGTTACTTTTGATAGCTGTTCCTGTATACGGTGTTCTCGTTCTTCTCTCTCGTGGATTGTTCTTTTAAAAACACTCTTTTGATGTTCGTTTTCATGCTGAAGTTGAACAATAATGTCCTCTCGATCTTTGATCATCCTTTCATAGTTTACGGCTACAATTAAATAAATACTTAACATTTTTATACAATAATTTGGTAAAATTATTTATTTTTTACTAGGCGCTGGGGGTGGGGGAGTTGGTTCTCTTCTAACCGGTGACTCTCTTGGTGTTTCCTGTGCTTGTGTATCCACCAAATTATCAACAACAGAATTATTGTCAGATTCACTTGCTGTATCTTCAGCAATGATTTTTAAACGTGGTGCAGTATAATTTCCCAAATCAGATTGTTGAAGGAAATTTGGTGGATTCTTTGGTAAATTTGGAACTGTAATAAGGTTGATGAAATATTGTAATTGTCCTGACTGTTTATAGAAGCTATTAAGTTGACGAAATATTGTGCGAAATCTTTCTCGGTGATGAACCAAGAGATCCTCTTGCAGTTTTGCATGAAGTAAAAACATCAAACGTACACAAAAATCATATAGTTGATTAGAATCTTGAATGCATGGAATTAATGGAATTAATCTGCATTGGCCTGCAGATGTCATTGAAGATACTGCAAATGTTGTAATGGAATTAAATATTGTGGCTTGAAGAGCAATGATTTCATCAAGATAATCAAACATCTCAATAGCAAGCTGAAAATATACGTTAATATCGTTAGCTGCAATTTTCTCCAGTTCACCACGTCTAAGGACTAAATTTCCTGGAAACTTTGGGTTGCGATCATGAAAGTTCAACTTGTTGATCAAAAGTTTACTGTACTGTAAAATGCACAGTCCATATCCATCAGCTAAATGTCCCCAAAGTTTTCCTAATTCATGCAACATAGTTCTGTGTCGCATTGAATGATTCAGCACTAAATGATGACCTTCTCTTAAAATTTTATGCAACACGAAGCAAAATTTCCAAGCTAAAAATAATCCACTGTTTATAAGCTGTTTAATTAAATAAACAAAGTGGATATTACAAACCTGTTATACGATTATCTTGTAAAGGCTGCCTTATTGCAATTGCCCAAAATGCATGTCCTCCATTTGAATGGTAAGTGCCTATTATCGCTGCTCTAAAATGTTAAATTAATTTAACGTCATAAGTATTTGTTATCATTTCAAATAATCACCGCATGACTCACCTAACATGTTTTGACTTAACAGGTGCTTCATGAACGTTGAGAGCCTTTCCAATACTAAGGCTTAACGCATAATATTCCTTAAAGTTGAAAGTAGATAAGTTAAAACAAAAAGAGTACACCCACAGCTTTGTTAACTATTTACCTTATCGCTTAATGAATTTGTCATCATGTTTACTCTATAAATATCAAAAATTTTGATAAGATATCTTCATTAATTTTTTCTGCAATCGATTTAAGCTTCAAAATGTTTTACAAAAAATTGATTTTTAAAAAAAGAATATGACGATTAATTTAATTAAAGAAACATTTTTATTTCACTGCCACTCATAATTCGATCATAATCAGAATAATTTAATTGAAATTTAAAAATACCTTAATTTATTTATCTACTTTTAAAGGAAATAGAAATTAAACAATTTTAATAAAAACAAAATATACTGTTAGCACCAAATATTTTTGAATGAATAATTTTTGAAACCTAGCTTTCGCTGTAACCTCTACGGTTGTATACCGGAGGGGGACAATAAGCGTATATGAATGGAACAGGATGCAGCATGTGAGTTTTTAAAAATAACGGTAATTTGAGAAAAAAAATGTTAATAAAATAATGAAAAGACAAATAAATTTTTTAATATATATTTTTTTGTTTTTTATTTTTCTTAAAAGATCATTTTTATGGCATTAAACATTTTTTTTTGTGTTGAAAATATGAAATATTCTTTAGAAAAAAAACATCAAAAGAGATATGATGATTTAAATAAATCGGAGAGTTGAAATTTCGACTTTTTTATAAAGATAAAAAATATACATATTGATTCTTATAAATGAATATATGCATGTGAATATATTATTTTTTTTTTATTAATTATAATTTAATTTCTTGTTTTTTTGTTATATGCATTACTACTAAGTAGGCAAGCTGAAAACGAAACATGACTCTTGAAAAAAGACAAAATTAAAACTTCTGAACAAAACACAAATTAGGTGATTTTATGAACATTTTTTTAACGAAAATTTTTGAGTGCGTCGATAATAAAAGAATTTAATCTTCCTTCCTATCGGCTATCTAATAAATGACTATTTTTTTTCGCATCAAAAATCATTTGCTTTTCTTCCCTCATTGAAATTAAAAATTTCTTGTTTAGTAAATCGGTCGAATAAAGTTCCTTTCGACTACACTTTTTGATATCGTTTCGAAATAGTTATGTATATAAAAAATAATTTTTTTTTCTTACATAAATAATTTTATGTTATTTGTGTATGTGTGATTGAAATACAAAAATGTAATAAAATAAAATTGTTTATAGATCAGATTCACCATATAAAGCAGTACTAAATGACATGTAGTCCAGAGCGCCTGGAACAGCTCCCTGTCCTTTGTATGGTGGCATTCTTTGGATACAATATTCTGCTTGATCTGGTGGTAATTCGCGTCTTAATTCGTCAGGAAGGATGTAAGGCTGTGTCGTTAGGAGGAAATAAAAAATAATTTCAATTAAGATCAAAAAAACAAGCTTTTTGATGACTCAACTCACCTTGTCAGATGCCAAGATTCTGAATGAATCAATTACTTGCTCAGCAGTGTCAGTATCTGTGTTTTCGCGTGTCATGAAGTCAAGGAAGGCATCGAATTGAACATAGCCAGTACTATTTGGATCAACAACAGCTAAGATACGTTGGAAATCTAATTCTCCTTGTCTGTCCTTTCCGATTGAATAACCGATGGAAACTAAACATGATTTGAATTCTTCTGGTGCCAATCGTCCTGTGCGATTCTTGTCAAAGTGATTGAAGCTTGATCGGAATTCAGTAAGTTGTTCTTGTGTGATGCCTTTGGAATCACGGGTGAGAATTTGATTTTCAACCTATTTTCAGAACGTCAAAATAAGAGAGACATAACAAATATATAATTAAATTCTCCTTTTAATCCTTTCTGTCTCGATTGCCAAAATACATACCTCGTTAATGTTTCTATTAATGGATGTTAAGAGTTGTTCCCATCCTACGCGTAATGTTTCCATTGTATAATTGGTGTAACGATTTTCAAAGATCATTGATTCTTGTACAGCTTGATGGATCTTCTCAAGTTCCTCAATATGTGGTTTGTAAGCATAAACTGCTTGTTCATATTCCTTTAATCTGTTCAATTGCTCTTCCAATGAGCCACTAATTGACATACCGATTGCACTTACAGCATCCATTTGCTTCTCGATCCATGGACCGACATTATTGGCCTTCTCAGCGAATTGACGACGCAACATTTCATTATTTTGTTGTTTCTTCAATTCCATAGCGAGGGTTTGGTCACGTGCTGGAACTAATGTCTTGACGTCTGACCATTTAGCTGTCAAATCGCGGGAAGTAAGTGTTGTGTAAGGATTTTCCAAACCGTTGGCGATTTGATATTGGTTAACCAGTCCTTCAACATCACGGACGAGGCCTACAATCAAATTGTATTCCTTATCAGCTTCACCCAAAGTTGCCTTGAATTGATCGTGAGCGGTGATAAGTCCTTGGATTTCTTCCATCGTGTGAACAATGAACATATCGACTAAATCTTCACGAGCACCATCCAACCAGTTATTGCTGTTGATAATTTTTTAATTAACTTATTGAATCAGGAAAAATGTTATAGATATATACTTACAATGGAGCAGCACGTTTAGCGAATTCCAAGTGAAGTAAATCAATCTTTTCGAGAACTCTTTCTGAGTCGTCTAATGCTTGACGACGACGTTGAGTTAAAGCACCCAAGCGATCCCATTGATCGCAGATTCGTTGGCAACGAGCGTTGACTGTTACACAGTCATGATATTCTAAGGTATTGAGTTCTTGAGCAATGGCAGCAATTTGTTCTACACGATCTTGATGAGCAGCAAGGTCAGATTCAAAAGCTTCATGCTTCTTCTTCAATGCCTTCAATTCATACAAGCGACAGCTGCGGTAATCTGGAGATTGGAGCATTTCTTCCTTACCACGAGTCCATTCCTCGTGCGTATCAGCCTTATGCTTGAACTTTTGAGCCAAATGTTCCAAGCGTTCTAAACGCATTGTTTCAGCCAAAAGCCATTCTTCGAAAGCCTTCTCAGCCAATTCCAAGTTCTTCCATGCATTTGCAATGTCGGATACCATTTTACCTTCAGTTGGCATATAAGCTGGTCTGTTTGACAAACGCAATTTTGTTTGGAGGGTGTTGAAATTTGTCTCCAATTTTGCTTTTTGCTCAACACGTGGTGGCTTGTGCTTACGTCTGTAAGTACGATATTCTTCTAATTTTTTCTGTACGCCAGCCAATGTACTGTCTGAATGGCGTGATGCTAACCATGGCATAGTACGACGGATCCATTCAAGCAACTATTCGTAATAATTTGTCAGTAAATCATAGATTGAAATAAAAATAATAGTAATAAACTTACGTCGCTTGCAAGACGTTCATACTCTTCCATCAATCTTTCATTTTCTTGATTGACCTTCAAAACTTTGCAAATACGGTTAGCTGCAGTCTCAGCCTGTGAAAAAATGTCAAGTGCATATTAAAATTTGTTTTTTTTCTTTTTTCTTTTTAAAAAAATGAAAATAGAGTTTAATTACAAAAATACTAAAAAAGCAAATTGAAAGCTTTGGGGAAAAATTAAAACAACGATCAAGGAGAGAAGCACAACAAACCTTTTGAGCTCCACTAAAACAATGATAATACGATGAGACATATGTCATAACAGCACGTTCATCAGGTAATGCTGTGTTCTGTAAATCTACATTAGATATTAGGTAAACAAACATTGTTAGTTGATAGGAATAAAACATAATCTTATATCGCTAAAAGTTATGAGCAACAAAATCGGGAGTATTAATAGCTTATGTTAAATGAGGGGGAAAAAAATTTAAAAAGCACGAGAAAAAAAATTATATGTCACGCTTCAAGGACACACAAGCATTTAAATGCGAACCTGTTGAGCTCCTTGAAAAGCATGATAGTAGCATGAAACATAAGTCATGATTGCTCTTTCGTCCGGTTTGGGTGTATTGATCAAGTCTACATATTATTGTTGTTGAAATTATCAATAATTAAATGATATTAAAATTATATATATTTTTATGCTCATTACAAAACGTTGTTTTTCGTAAAAGATCTTACCATCTGGATCCAACATGCGAGGAATATCTAAGTATTTCTCAGCAACATCGAATGCTGTATTCAAATTCTCCAATGGATTGTCTTTTGACAATCTTGAATAATCGATCAAGTCTAAAATTTCATGAAAATGTGTTTGAGTCAAAACTGGACGTATATGCTATACACTTTCGCTATTTACCTGGACGATGACGGTGGATCAAGGCACAAAAAGCTAAACCATCCTGTATTTAATAAATTAAAATGATTTAAATAGTGCATAATGTGATTTAAAATCCATGTAAAGTAATTACTTTGAAACTGAGATGGAAGTTTTGTACATTGACATTCTTATATGGAGCAGTTTTGCGTTGGCACCATAACAAGAGGCCTTCTTTAGCTGTCATTTCCTCAACAGAAATATCTTGGATGGCAAATCTCAAAATGATGGTCCAAATCATACCTAATGTCATTTTTAAGTTTCCATCAACAATTTCCTCTGCACCGATTGAGACGAGCTTGACTCCTTTGGATGCAATAAAGTCAAGGGCTTTGTTTACGTTTGCGATCTATTTTTAAAGTGAGAAATTTTTTTTTGTACAAAAATATATATATATGTGTTTGCTGTTGACACTTATTTTGTGCTGTCTTCATCGTACCTTATGGAAACGCATTTTGCCACGATCAGGCTTTGGGAGAGTTTCACCCGAAATGACTTCTAAGAGGAGCATCAATTTGAGACCATTGCGAAAATCATCTTCAATACTTTCAATTGCTGTTCCTGCTTTACGGAGATGACTGTTGCACCAAGCAGTAAAGGTCTGTAATTTACATTTTACAATAATAAGTTTTAATTAAATTATTTTATAATGAATTAAATGAAAGTCTATTGAATTTGGCAATTGCACGAAAATTCAATAATTTTAATTTTTTTAACAGTTTTGAACAATGAGTGTGGGTTTGGTTTGATTGGGTTTTGTTCAATGTAATTGATAGATTTTTATACAAAAGAAAATCTTTGTCAATTTTTTTGATTTTAATTTTTGACGAAATGAAATGTTGAGATTGAAATTTTTTTCTGTTAAAATAAGAGCGAGAAGCAGATTTAAACATACCAGATCGACAATGCTCGAGTTCAAGATAAAATTGGCACCATTTGAACATTTACAAAGTAAGTTTTAGAACGAAAATACGACAAGTTTCATAGGAAACGAATTTGCAATGAACATGATTGATTGCTGTCTGAAATTAGGAGAGACAGTTTAGAAAGAGAGCATTTGCAGCCTAAATTGATATGCCATGCTTCCGAAAATCTTATCAGTACATGAAGAACAAGTCAAGAATTTGATTCTAAGATGACTCATTTTCATTAACGACTGATACACTTGAAATAATTGGAACAGAAACTAGTGGATTTTTTTTTTGCATTTTCTCCCTTGGTTAAAGAAAAAAAAATTTGTGTGGTTTTTAGTGGTTTTGAAAAAGAAAATTGTGTGATTGAAATTTCCCATTTTATATTCGCTTTTCCATTCATACGCCAAGAAAAGAAAAAAAAATTCAAAGATATACTCATGTGTAGCTAAAAATATTTTTATACAAAGTTCAACTCTTCGTTCTGAAAGACAAAGCTATTTATAAACTTTTTTGAAGGTGAAAATCTTAAATAACAATTTTTTTCAGTTTTTCTTTAAAGATAAACTCCAATTTTCAATAATAATATTATTTAGCATGAAAGAAAACAGACGAGATGAAAATTGGAAATTCCTATGATGCGATTTTCCATGAAGAAATTTGGCAATCAAGTCTCAGATCGCGAAGGTAATGAAAAAATTAAAAGGTGACAAGAGATAATTTTCCTCTCACATATCAAGTGGTCATAGTCAGTCGCTATGAAAATATAAAAACAGGTGTTTTTTTTTTTGAAAGAAAGTATTTAATTCTAAATAAGAATATCTATTAATAGAAAATTTATAAATATATGATTGTATGCAGGCAGATCCGCCCATGATATTGTTATTTAATAAAAGGGTTTTAAAATAAATCTTATTAATCATCTAGCTTTTTGGGGGAGTCTCCCACTAAGAACGTCAAATTTTAAGTAGACTTGGAATCACTTTCTTATTAGGGGTTTACATAGGGTCTTAAATTTCATTGTAATGATTGACGTCATTTATGAATGACCCCTGACGTTTGTACTTGACAAAATAGAAATAGAAAAATAAAAAAGATTTTCACGACCTGTTTGTAGTGATCATTCCAACAAGTGAGCATCTTTTAAACCAAAATAAATTTCGCGACATTTTCTCAAAAAATGATGAAAATTTATAGAAATTAAGAAACTTTATGAAACTTATTTATTAATTCGTACGGTTTGCTTGATAGCAATATTTATCATGTGTCAATTTATTTAAGAATTTTTTTCCTACTACATCATTAATGTTATTTTTAACCGAAAAGCATCACAGTGAAAAGTTTTTTTTTTCAATGTTTCTGTGTCTTCGCAATTTTCAATTTTCGGAGTTCATATAGAAATATTTTAAGAATTTTCACTCACACAATTAAAATGTTAGCAAATTTTCATTTATTTTTTCTTTTCTCTTCTTGAAATTAATCTTTTTCTTCATTTCATTTCGTACGTCTGAGGATTTTTTAATTTTTTTTTTTTGACAAAGATATTTTTTTATAAGATTTTACCTTTTTCTGTTGTTTTTCCCATGCTGGATCTAACAATCCTTCCCTTTCCCACTCTTCTTCTTGCTCCATGTATCCATTTTCTCCATACTCTTCAGCATACATGCCATTCTGATCCATCATTTTCCTTTCAAATACACATACATAATACATAGAGATATAATATAAGTTTAAATATGTAGTTCAATTCGGTAGCAGTAGCAGAAGCTAATAGGAAGTTTTTTTAGAGGAATTTAAATTTAGATTTTTGTTTAACTGAAAATTATTATGTAATTTTGTTCGAATCTCGACATTATTTTTTTTATATGTGTGATCGCCTCTAAATGTAATTAAAAAAAATAATTCACTATTATATTAGAAAAATAATCTGATTTAATTAAATTTCAATTTTTTTTTTCCTTAAATTTCAAATCTATGGATTTATGTGAAGATATCAACATCACGAAAATACAGCACAATATATATTTTATGAACGTTATTATTACTTTTCAATAGATTTAAATTCTTTCGTAGATAGGAGTGGATTCTCTTATTAAAATTATATCCTTTATCTAAATTTAAATTTCTATTGAATATATTACGTGTTTCAAGTTCCGCTCGCGTTGGTATCCAACTCAAAACTAAACTAAAAATAACAAATTTTTTTGCCTTCAATTTTACGTGTTTCAAAAGAGAATCACGATGATATTTTTAAAAATTTTCTCTTACTTAAATGAGGGTGTTACTCTCTTCACGTAGTAATTATTTGTTTTTCTACTCTTTTTTCATTGGAAAATTCATTCTGTTTTAGAATTTCAATCATGAGAATTTTGATGCTAATCAGATCTCTCAAATTCTATATCGAATTAATCAAATCTTTTACTAATTAGTCAAGGAAGGCCACAGAAGCAAGATAGAGGTGCTATTAAATCTGTACAGCTTATCTACACATTCACATTCCTTTCCTGCTGTCTAGTGAAAAATAATCTCGTTAAATGAAAACAATTAATCCCGAGCAGGCACAAAAAGAGACGTCACGAAATCGTTTCGTCGACAAGGATACATATTAATTATCGGGACGGTCCAGAATGCGATTTTACATGGTTTTTTGCATTTTTAAAATGGGACGAAATTGCTGACTGGACCACCTTTAATTTATTGTGATAGCACCTGATATCTAAAATGATTTTTAAGCAATTGCAAATAATCGTTTTTATTGCCGCTCGGGAATAGAACTAAACAGTAACGTATTTCGCAGAGATTATAATCTGTACATTTTTTCCGCGTGGGTGATGATAACAATTCATGCTGCTCTTACTTTCTTTCAAAATCCTTCTAAAAATAAATTAAAGAATCTCTATGCGCGCATCTAAACCTTATTTTTTTTTTCTTTAATTTAAGACTCATTTCGTCATGAGTCATGAGAGAAAATCACTAAGAATATTAATGTACTGTAAAAGCTGCATTATAAAGCATTATTACTGTATATTTTTGACACAAATATATATGCAACTCTACTTCTCTTATCTTTTGTATGTGTTATTAATTACTACCTAAGGAAGCAAAAGAATTTTATGAACAAAAATACCGTACTCGTTTCATAAATTTTTATTTATTTATGGGACTATTGATTACTCAGTATTCGTTTTTTTTTTTTTTGTAAACAAATTGGGAAGAATTCCTGCAAATCGTTTTTAGCTATTCGCATTCAAATATCAAGAGGAAAAAAAAATCAATATTTGATCATGAACTTGAAATTAATTTTATAGATCGTGAATTTTTTGAATGAGTTAAGTCAAAAAATGATAATGAAATAAATCAATTAATTGTATTTCATAGAGAACATTTTTATGAATATTATATTTAACGTATGCAGTTTACGAGATTATTTATTATCAATTAAAAAAGTGTTGAAAGGTCTCACCGGTCAAAATAAATTATTTAAAAATAATTATTACCCGTTAAATATGTTATAATGTTATTTAAATAATATTTTGGCACTCTACTTTACTTAAAATTTCAATTTCTTTTTTTCAATAATACTTATTGATACTGAAAGTTATCCATGTATATTGTAGAATCAAAAAACAGACAACCAGTGTCTTCACATTTTCAAAAACTCGTAAAACCGCTACGTTTATGTATTACCTGAAATATCTATGTAGAAATTATTATTCTTTTAAAGTTATTTCAAATTCATTTTTAAGTTATTAAAATTATTTCAACAGTATTATTTTTTTTTTGCTCAAAAATTTCATCATAATTGCATCAAGTTATTTTTTGACTTTTAAATGTTAAAGTATGACTTGTATTATCTTCCTTATTTCTTTTTACTTTATAATGTATTCGCCTTGTTTATTCTGATATTCAACCCGTGATGACTCATTGCTAATAATCAATAGAACATGTTGTTTCATATCGCTCACGTGTGACCAATTTTTACTAGCTTTTTTGAAAAATTTCTGCTGAATAGCAAACTTTTTAACTTTTTCAAAATCGCTGATAGGAATTATAGCATTCACTTCATTAAACAATTAAATAAAGTATAAGATTATAAACAATCGAAATTCAGCATATAAAAATTAATTAAACAAAAACCTAATATTTTTTGAGAAAATTCCAACGATGTTTAGAAATTCAAAAACATTAATTCAGTAATCAATCCTTGCTCAATCAAAAGTTTTATAATCCATGAGAAAAAATTATATAATTTGAAAAAACACTGAAAATAGGTAAGTTTAATTAATGACTCTATTGCTTATTGAGTAGGAACTCTGTTGCCTCTAGAGACTCTAAACTTAGAATTTATAAATCTTATATCAGACCAATTTTAACATATGGCTGTCCAATTTTCTCGACTTCTGCTGCTTGTCATTTGAATAAGCTGCAATTATTCCAAAATAAAATTCTAAGAATAATCCATGGTGTTCACTGGTCTGACTTCATATCAAACGATATGCTACATGATTCATCAAATCTTCCTTCAATTAATAATATCACCAATAATTTCTATGGCAAAATTTCACACCATCCAAACGATCTCATCTCTTCTCTTGGTCAATATAATTACGATTCTCTGAGCTTTAGAGTTAAACATAGATTACCAAGAGCTCGTAATTGATGTAAATGCCGGTAAATGCATTCTTTTTTAATTATTCATTTTCTCCTCTTTTTAAACTTTTCTATTTTTCTAAAAAAATTTTTTGGCTTTTTTAACTATTTTTTTGCCTTAACTTCATAAAAATTACATTTTTACTTCAAGCAACTACTTTAAACACCCTCGCATAAGCGATTGATTTAAAACCGACAAAGGTTAACATCAAAAATATTTAATTTCTGTTCCGCCTTATATTATGCATTGAATAAAGGATTATTATTATTATTATTAATTAATGAAATTAATGAGAGCATTAAGCTTGAGTTAGAGCTTCTAGTGAACTAACGGAGCGAATATAAAAGTGTCATTATAAAGTACTTTGAACATATGTTTGTTAGTGTTTGTAAGTGCTAACGTGTAATAGTATTTTTATAAATTTTCTGATTTTTCAACATTTTAAATTCTCGATATTCTATCCTTACTTTAAACTATATAAATAAACAAAGGGATTTATATAATCGTTAGAATTACTGGCATTTTATTGGTGATAAGAATCATTAATTAGAACATTAAAAAGCAATCAGAGTGAATCATCTTAATTTAAGTGAAAGAGAGAAAAAAAAAATAATATTTTCAATATAATAATTCCATAACAAGTAATTATAATAAAATGTTTAAAATAAACGTAAATAGTAACAGCTCACAGACAAATCCATCACAACATCCAGCAATGGAACCAAAAACAACGAAGATAACAGATGAATATGATATATCAAACCATATTTTAGGCTTAGGAATTAATGGAAAAGTAGTTCAATGTACTAGAAAAAGCGACGGAACTAAATATGCTTTGAAGGTGATAAAATTACACAAACCACAGATTTATGTCTCAATATAATCTCTAATGAATTCAATACTTTAGGTTTTACATGATAATCATAAAGCTAGACGAGAAGTTGAGTTACATTGGAGAGTTTCTGGATGTCGTCATATAGTTAATATTGGTATGTCTATTTGTGAATTTATTAGCTGATACAATTCTAATCGTTCAATTTTATTACCAGTTGATGTTTTTGAAAACACATATGGAGGTACAAAGTGCTTGCTTGTTGTAATGGAATGGTAAGTGGCAAATGCAAACTGTATGATGAAATAGAGAATTAATTTCGCGCTTCCTTTTCTTTTCTTTGATAATGTATCACTAGTATGACTGGCGGTAAGCTTTTATCTTTATAAGCGTATTAAGTGCAATTGAATGAAATCTTTTTTTATCAATTTAGGTGAATTATTCACTCGCATTCAAGAACGACAAGATGGTCCATTTACTGAAAGGGAAGCTGCTCAAGTAATGCACGAAATTTGCATAGCACTAAGATTTTTACACGATAGGTATTAATTAAACATTACAAGTGTCATTTAACTAAGCTAATAATTAAATTATTCCGTAGAAACATTGCGCACAGAGATTTGAAGCCGGAAAACTTGCTCTATTCCTCACCCGATTGCGATGCCATTATAAAGTTAACAGGTCAGTATACATTCATTGATTTCCATATCTCCCATTCTTATCGTTAAAAATTATGTAACTCCTTTATCTCTTATCTATCTCTTAAATTAAAAATAAGATTTCGGTTTTGCGAAGGAAACTTATGTAAAAGACACCCTACAAACTCCATGCTATACTCCATATTATGCTGGTAATTATATTAATATTATTATTTTTCTATTATCACAAATATCATTTTTTCACACCAGAGTTGCGATCTGTCACAAAAAATCACCTGTCACCTATCTGTAAACAGGCAGTGCCTGTTCCTGTGACAGGTGACCTGTATCGCAACTCTGTTAAACACAATTAATAATTTGTCAATTTGATTCAAATTATTATTTACAATACATTGAACGTAAACATAATTTCTATCACAATGCTAGTTTTTAATATAAGCAACACTTAAAAAAATAAATTTATTTTGTATTTTAAATTTCCAAAGCTCCTGAAGTGCTTGGCCCAGAAAAGTACGACAAATCATGGTTAGTTCGCATATTTTCCATTCTTTACATTCCACTTAATGCTTGCTTTGCTTTATTATTTCAGTGACATTTGGTCACTAGGAGTAATTATGTACATATTGCTGTGTGGATTTCCACCATTCTACAGTAATCATGGACTGGCAATATCTCCTGGTATGAAGAATCGAATAAGAACTGGACAATATGATTTTCCGTCTCCTGAATGGTCTAACGTATCGAATGATGCCAAAGAATTGATCAAAGGAATGTTAAGTGTTGATCCAAACAAGCGCTTGACCATTGAAGGTGTTATTAGAAACAGCTGGTAAAACTTGATATTTATATTTGTTTTAACTTTAAACTAATAACTTAATTTCCTCAATAGGATTTCTCAATACACAAATGTCCCACAAACTCCCCTCCACACAAATCGTGTTTTGAAGGAGGAAGAGCAACAATGGTAATTATACTGATTTAATTTAATCAATTAAGAGATTTGAATTTCAAATAAGTAAAACCTTTTTTAGGCCGGAAGTGCAAGAAGAAATGAACCGCTCGTTAGCTAGCATGAGAGTTGACTATGGATTAATGTTGAAAAATCTTGATAGCTCAACCAACTCACTTTTAAACAAACGCAAAAAAGCTAAAGGTAATGTTGGTGAATCGTCTACAAAATATTCAACAAACTTTTAAACGATTAATTTTTATCCTTTTTATGTTATCTATAACGTTAAAAAGTAAGCATATATGCCATGAAAGTTAGAATTATCGTTTATCAAGTTAAGAAAATATTTATCTTCCTTCTCCAAATCGTACTATCCTTTAAAGAAACGTCACTCAATTGTTGAGCATTTGTTTTAAAATAATACAAATGTTTTATGTTATGCATTAAAAGTGGTCGGACCTCAAGTTGTAAGCCTTTAAAATAATTAAACTATTCCATAAGAATTCTTAAAAAAAAAAATATTTATGTAAACGGTACTATTTGAACTACTTATTTTTTTGACTAGATAGAATAGCATTAAGGAAGTCTTGGCAAATTTTTTTAACACTTCATAATGTAATCATAATGAACAAAAGAGAGAAAATATATATAATTTAACAGTTATCAGTATGATTTTTTTTTGTAAATAGACCAATGAGATGGGAGTTAATGGATTAAAATGTATTGACTTAAATAACAGCTTCAAGTCCTGTTCAAATTAAAACCAGCCGCACAAACAAATATAAAGTTGATGGGGGGTAAAATCCCCGAAAGATATTAATTCCACGATCCTGCGAGATAATAACCCCGAAAAACGCAAATTTTTATATGTTTCCTGCGGGATAATATTCCCACTTAGAAATACACGTGAAATTATTATCCTTCCGGGAAGATAATAATCCCACCTATAATTACAAGTGGGATTATTATCTTCCACGGAGATAATAATTTCACTTACATTTCTAAGTGGGATTTTTATCTTTATGGAACACGATTAAAATTATGGATTAAATTAAACCCAAAAACTTATTTGTCATAGCGGAAAATAATTCCACTTGTGAAAATTCTTCATTATTATAACGGTCATTTTTCATACATTTTTCAGTCGACTTTTTCGACAGTCAGTTAGCTTTATCCTTTTTCTTTCACTTTTTATCAATCTAGCCGAGCGATAACACGCATTTATCGCGCCACGAAAAAGTGAGGATTAATCTTATCATATTTCTTTTTGATTCATTGATATCCATTTGTTATAGCTATCTGATCCGATCATAAAGGATATTTGTATTCACATTAGGTTTATAAAAGTATAAGTAAATAAACGAAAGAGAATTTGTGAAATATATTTATTTTTTTGGGATTTAGATACATCGTGGCTAGCTGGTGAAAAGACACACTTGTTTTAATAAGTGGATTTATTATCTAATAGGATTTTTATCCAGAAAAATCCCACTTATAAATTTGTTAATTTTATTATTCCAAAACATTAAATAAGAAAGAAACATTAATAGGTATTGGTTGAATGTTTGCTATTTAAAATGTATTATTCCAAATTGTTTAAAAAAATAAAATCAAGGTGGGTTCAATAGTAATTTTTCTGAAACATCAAGCATATCAAAATTGACTTGAAATATAGCAGTGAAATCGTAGTCATTTAAAATAGAAGTTTCAATAGAAATTATGCAAATATATTGTATTGAACTGATCAAAAGATGTTAGCTTTTTCATATAAAATAATGTTTGAGATTCGCTCGAATGTTTGTAGAAAAAGTGGCTGTAATCCCATTTTGTTTTACTTCGTGTATTAAACTGCTTAAAAATCACAGTTTTGTTCAAATGTTTAGGAGTAGATATTTCATTTAAAACTCTGAGTCGATTCATCCATTCCAGTCGAAAGGATTAAGCTATAGATCAGTTTCTATCAGATTAATAATAAGTTTGAAGCGATTAACAAATTGACAGAAAGCGTAGTATTTTTCCAATTTTTGGACATGAAATTGGTGTAAGCCTGTCCATATAAACAGACAATTTTTTTGTGTTAGAAAATCTCAATGAACATTTTAAATTTCTCAGTCGAAAAAAAATTTGTTACTTTTTATCAAGGTTCCGAATAAGGCGCAATTCTTTGGATGAGTGAAATTCGAAAAAATGAGCTTTCATAATCCAAATTCGATGAATTATGTTTAAAAAAATGTTTTCAATAATTTCATATTACTGAAGGATTAATAAGCTAGATCTTTCGTAGATTATAACGACAATTACTTTTTTGTAAAGGATCTTTTAAAATGTTAATTTTTTTTTTTCATTTTCATGTGAAGTACTTGAAAATCTATCAGAATAGTCATTTTTTATCTCTGTCCCCCCTCTGGATTTTTGTCTGTTTTACAATTCATCAGTTGTTATTTACTACTAATTTTAACAGTTTTCTCTAATTTTCAATTCTTCGAATGATGAATATAGAAGATTCCGATTTCTGTCACCGAGTTATTTACTAAAGAAATCAACAACTTAATTAACACAGCGATTAGAAGTTTATGATATCGAAAGTACTATACATTTTATTTTTAAGGTCGATTATAATCAAAAACTCAAAACCTCTAATGGGAAATTAATAAAATTTCGATTTTTTGCTGAAAATTTTCCATTTTGGTAAGAATAATGTGAAAGATTTAAATATATAAAGCACGCTAATTTAAAATTTTGTTGCTCAAATTCTTAAAATCTATACATTAATTTAATTGTAATTTTAAAAGGATGGCAGTTCTAAAAACACAAATATGTTTCAATTGTTTTAGACCATTTAAGAGATCCGATTGTTTAAAATCACAAAATTTTGCAACCATTCTGATTAATCAGGTATACAAAGTCACTTAAACAAACTGATGTACGCAAAACTATTGAAAATGTTCAGCAAAGAATTGGAGTCTGATACGAACAATTCAAGAGTTTCAACCGTTACAGTTTCCAAGAACACTTGCAAAAATGTCTTATTTGTCTGTCTGCGATGCAAAATTCGAAGTTTCATACCCTGCAGTTCCAAATTTTCGAAAATTAGGAAAAAATAAAAACTTAAATTAAACAATTTTTTCATGAATTTTTGATGAAAATATTATTTTATCATTTGATAATAAGCATAATACAGCTATATCTGTTTTCAAAACTATCAAAAACTTGAATAGAATAACAAAAAATTGTAACGGTTTTTCAAATTTAAATTTTTCGAACGTGCATATTAAAACACCCCTAGACTTTCGATAAGTCTGTCGAACATGAATTGAACGTATCAGATTGGAGTGATTTTTAAAAATTCAAAATTAATATTTTGTAAATTTATTCAAATTTGAGCTCTTTTAGGGAGAAGCTCAAAATGAAACCTGTCGGAAAAAAATTATATATCCTAAAAGAGATTTTATTTTCTCATCGCATTCACTTTACGTTCAGTTTGAAAAACAGTTTTTTGCATTTTGAGAAAAAGAACCAAATTGCAAAAACCAGAATTTAAATTGACTGTATCATTGATGAGAAAATCGCAAAATACGCTTTCTGTAAGCAAACAAGCAAAAAAGAAAGTAAATCAGCAAAAATCTCTATTTCGAGGCATCTTAGAGACTTCTAATTTTTGCATTTGATTCTTGTGCTTTAAAAAGGATAAGGTTGTATTTTTTTGGGTAAGATAGAACGATCCATTGCTTCCAAAAAACCCTCCATCATCTTTAGGATTATTAGTTCCGCACGTTTTAAATTTTTATAGACTTTCATTTCAAAACCATTTGCAAAAACAAAATTTCTTGAATGCAAAGATCTTTAATATATTATACATTTAGGCTCTAGGCTTTTAGAAAATTTACAAAAGGCACAAAAAAACCAAGTTGGCAACTTAAATATTCAACCATTACCTATTAATGTTTTTTTCTTATTTAATGTTTTGGAATAATAAAATTGACAAATTTAAAAGTGGGATTTTTTGGGTAAAAATCCTATTAGATAATAAATCCACTTATTAAAACAAGTGGAATTATTATCCGCTATGACAAATAAGTTTTTGGATTTAATTTAATCCATAATTTTAATCGTGTTCCATAAAGATAATAATCCCACTTAGAAATGTAAGTGAAATTATTATCTCCCTGGAAGATAATAATCCCACTTGTAATTATAGGTGGGATTATTATCTTCCCGGAAAGATAATAATTTCACGTGTATTTCTAAGTGGGAATATATCCCGCAGGAAACATATAAAAATTTGCGTTTTTCGGGGTTATTATCCCGCAGGATCGTGGAATTAATATCTTTTTGGGGATTTTACCCCCCATCTCCTCTATTAATTGATGGGGAATGATTGCTGCGAGAAACATTGATAATAGGGCCAATAAATATTGAAACTTTTTTTTGTAAAAGGTAGCTTAATAATGCACTTTGTTCGTTCGCTCGATTGGCTGGGAACTGAGATCTTCTCAACCAAATGTAGAGAACTGAGGTTTATTTTAATAGCTTGGTTTGATTTTAATAGCTCTTGAATCATTGATTTGGTAACGAATACTAGCTTAGTAAAGATTTTTAAAAAAATCTCGGGTTCAAAAACTCTACTAAGCTACTAGCTTATAACGAAAAAGCAGGGTAAGTAATATGAACATTGCGAGAAATTTTCAAACTTATAAAACTGCTAAAAGATTTGAATTTTAAATAAATGTTAAGGAACAAAAAACTTTTGACTGTATCTAATGATAATTGATTATTCCCGTCATGCTTGACAGGGGACTATACTAATGTTTAATATTTATGAAATTGAACAAAAATAGAGCTTAAAAAATACTGATCGCTGCGTCAAAAATGTGCTGAAGTTCCTCAATCGATGACACGAGGACTTTTGTAATTTTATAATTAACTTACCTAGAAGTGGGTTTAGAATTTTGTAATAAAAACTATTTTGGGACAACGAACAAATTATCCAGCATTTAATGCTCCTTTTACTTAAAATTTTTGATAATGTCGATTTAATAAAAAGTTAAGGGACGAAATTCAATTTACACGCAAAATTTATTCAATTCAATTTAAATAACACATTGTTACTAGGTTGTAATGAGAAACAAAAACAATATGAATAAACAATTAAAACTTTAAATTCTTGTCAGGAAATCGTGATGCAAATATAATTTTTCTCTTCCTTAAACTTTCGGTCGGAGCATAATCTGTTGATCTCAATAGCATTCGAAAGTTGTATGGTCCCAAATGTGAACATGTATTTTCTTCAAATTTTTGTGATCCATCGTTAATGATTGTCTTTTCCATAAGCCTTTTAACAGATGAGTTTCTTGATGAATTAGGGGTTTCTGAAGGACTGTCATGAACATTAAAGCTAATTAATTTGAGGAGATTAAGACTTTCTAATTTTTTGTAGGGATCAATTTTCTTCTCGTTTGAGTAATCATCGGATATGCTCTTCCTTAAAAACACTCCATTCTTTAAATCACAATGTATTCGTCTTGAATTGTCCAAATTTGTATCTGATGAGCAATTCGAATCACAAATTGAAGCATTTCCTTTCATTACATAATTTAGTGCATTTTTACTAAAATGCTCATGACTATTCAGTAATAATTTAATTTTACTTTCGAGCTGAGATTTCTTTGAATCACTTAAATCGTAGCTTTTAGCATTGGGTATGAGATAATTGAAAGGCCTAAATAAGAAAAAGGAAGAAATTTGTTTTTAAATAATGTTTTTAACCATAAATGTCGTTATGAATAAAATCCACCACCTCAAATTATCCAAATTTATGAGAAATGACTGCGTACAACGACAGAGAAAAAATAATGTTAAGACATTTTAAAACTTGTGTCAATTGAACTTACTTAAAATTGATATTTCCTGATATGTTTCTTGCAAAGTTCTCCATGTCTCTGTCATTGCTAGTCGTGGATTGCGTTCAAAAAATTAATTAAGAATTAATGAAGCGATAAAGTTGTTTTAATTGTAAACTTACGATTTATTAAATGCATGATCTTGCGTTATATTGGAAAAACTTGTTAATCTGTTGTCATTTTGTGAAAATTTCCCCAAAAGTCCTAAAATAATGAAATTAAAGCATCGAATTATTGCTGTCTGATTCACTCAATTGGATATTGGGTTACTATTGACATTCAAGACGATTTTAGTATAAAATTTTGATAAATGTTTTAAGGCGGACTGAAAATCCAATTTTTTGATGGATGTCATTTAAAAATAGACTCATCCAGAATCAGTGAAATCAGGCAGATAAATTGTTGAGTAAAAATTACCTGGGATAAGTTCAAAACCTGGAGGCCTTCTGTAATCAGCTGGCATTTCTCCAATTTTCAACAGTGGAATACCGCGTTTGGATATACGCAATTTGTTGTGAATGTCTAAAATTTGAAGACATAATAAACAGGATTAAATACAGTTACAACAGGTTTTAATTATTTACCTTTATTCCGATTATGGATATTTTCAGAAAATTCTGCAAGTTTCAGTTGCTGTTCTTTTACTGACAGTGGTTTAAGTCTACTAGCGGATGTGATATTCTCGTCATCTCTCACGTTCCGTTCCTTCTTTGATCTAAGATTAAATTAATTTTAAATGTAGAATCATTAAAGATAAGCATGATATATACTACTTACTTTCCAGATTTCTTAATGATCTTTAAAATGTCATCATCACTGAGATTCTCTTTCTGAAGCACCCTCTTTTCTTCAGCACTAGAAACATTCTTCTTCATAATCATATGTATCTTGTCCTCAACTTCCACTTTTGTATTTGATTTCCTTCGTCTAGCCTGCTCATTTTTATCATCTAGGAAAACTTTATGTAGCACTAAATCATGAAGATCATTATTTCTTTTCTTATTCATCAAACCGCGAACATTTTTTTGTAACTTCCATAATTTCTTGTTATGTTCTTGCCGTAATTTTTTTGTCTTCCTTATAGCTAGCCATCTTCTTGCAAATGATTGAACAATGATAATTTTTTGTATCCGTTCCTCATACATTTTTGATAATTGCTCGACATGGAAATATTTTAAAAATACTTTAGATTTTCCTAAAGCATATCCTTCAATCTTTAAACGTTCTAATAGAAATTTACACGTTTCACGACTAACAACAACACGTTCGTCAAATTTGAATGCAAGGAAGCAATATTTCTTTAAGAAATCAGCAAATTGTATTCGATGACTGAAGCCATTATTTCGAATTCGAATAGCTTCAAAGCATCCAGCGTAGCGTAACTGTTTCAATACCTTTTCTTTCTCAAAATATTTTGGACCTTTGATGTCATTGGGTTTGATGCATCTTATGAATAGCGGTGAGCCTGCTATCATTTTCTGCAGTAAATCCATGAGAGAATACTTGAAATACGTAGCCATTGTCTGTTGTACCCTTGATTGTGACGAAATTCCTCTGCTATTGTATTTCTCCTATTTAATAGTGCATTGTTTTCAGCATTTGAGAATTATACTAATTGTATTTATTGGTCTTTTAACTTACCTTCGAGTCGCATTTATTATCGTTTACTTGAATATTCTCGGATAATGCTGAGTACAAGTTACCTGTTTTAGTAACAGGGCATTGGAACAAGAATCGAATTCTGCAAAAAAATAGACCAGTGAAAGTTGACATCTCGTGACAAATAAAAAATAGATCTTACGTGTCATATTGACTTCCTCGAATTAACTGCACTACTTCCGGTGGTAAAAAGTTTTTGTTCTTTTCCAGAAACCCCTCTGCATTGTATACTACACGCCCAGCATAATGATGTATTGCAAAGCTTAACACATTTGACTTTGGTTTTTGGTAATATTTTGATTTAATGACTGCATGAAATTTGTCTTTAAAGAAATACGGAAATGGAATAAGTTTGTAAATAGGAAAGAATTCTCGATGTGTTGCATGCATAGCTATAGCTACATGTGTATGAATGAAAATAATAAATTGAATTATCGATGCATTGGAACAGTATTACCTATTAATGTTCTATCAGACGATTTCGGAAAACGGTTTTCTTCATCAATCAATGATAATAGTCCTAACGGTCTTGATAGTAATAAATCCAAAACCGGACTGTTGTCAGAAAATTCAATCAGATTAATCGGAATTCCCTCTGACTTTAAAAAGCAAAATTAGAAAATTTATTTTATGTCTGCTATACATTTTAAAATATTATTATTACCATGTATTCTTGTTGTTCCCATGAAAATATCTTCTGATTGAAATAATATTGGATCTGCTCATTAGCAATGTTAATCATCAATTGTTCATAAGAGTTTGCAGCATGGTTCTCAAAACCGAATATGTCTAGTAAACCAATTGATAATTGATTTAATTGAGTATTAGAGATTAGGAGAGTATTAATGTGATTAACAATCCAATCAAATAAACGACCATAAAGAGATTTAGCCATTGCATCACGTGTCGCAGAAGCTTCTTGAATTGTATTATTTTTAATTATAGTTTCACCTCTCATAACGACAGCATTAGATGTTAAGCAATCATGTAAATCTCCTTTATCAACACCCAGCAAGTGTGATACACGAAGCAAAGGTGCCATATCAATAACACAGGCTTTATTATCTGTATTATCACCAGTGACCATTTCACCAAATTCAATATCACCCAAATTGATTATAACTGCAAGTGTTCTATAGATTGAATCTAAATCTTCATCTTTAAATCCAACAACTTTGAAACTTGTTTTTAATAACTTCCATTTTTCTTGATTGATTTTCGGTGAATTTATTGGATGTTTAAGGTAGTTATGATGACTTCTGTGTGATTCATTTAAATAATAGTCTTCAAGGCGATTCTCTTTTTGTAATCCATCATAGAAATAATAAAATATGTGAAAATTTCCTTCATTCACAGCTTGTTTTACTACCCTACTCTGTTCAAGTAAATATACAGATATTCTGGCACCATTCAGTTTTCCAGTGCTACCAATGAATAGCTCCAGATACTTGCCAAAACGACTGCTATTTGAATTGATTCCAGTTCGTGCATTACCAAATGATTCCATGATAGGATTAACTTTCAAAATTTTATCTTCCAAGTTTCTAAATGATTCTTTTCCTAAATAAACAAGCTGCTTTAGAAGCAAATTTGCTGATTCCGTTTTTCCACTTCCACTTTCTCCACTGATAACAATAGTTTGATTCTGCTTTTCATGCATCAAATTACTAAAAGCTGCATCAGCTATCGCAAAAACATGTGGTGGATTTTCTGATCGAGTCTTTTTACAATACATCTGTTGATAATGCGGAGTGTAAAGTGGTAAATGTTCAAACGGATTACAGGCGATTAGAATATCTCCAATATAAGTATAAATCTGAGTACTCTCAAAACGTTCATTCAAAGAATCAACAATAATTGTTTCAGAAACTGATTCCAACATTGCTAAGTCATCATCAAGTTGTTTTGATTTTGCCTCTAAATTTTTCTTGACATTATTAAATTTGACAGTAATATCACCTCTCTCATCTCCACTCTTCTTATTATGTTCTGTTTGTTTCTTTTTGTTGATGTAAGTACACAACTCTTTTTTCGCTTTAATAACATCAATGTTTTTAAAAAATGGATGTCTCAGCAATTCTCGTGCAAACGGTCTCTTTTCAAAGTCTTTGACTAAGCATGCAGAAATGAAATCTGATAGAAGTGGCGAAAATCTTTCTTTATGAGTCAATTCTGGAGGCTTATTTCGCGGTATTTCAAAAAGTGCTTTCATTGGATGTAAAGATGACAGAGGTGGCTCACCTTCAGCGAGCTCAATTGCCGTTATTCCTAAAGACCAAACATCACATCGAGAATCATAGTTTTGATTCAATTGCTGCTCGCATCTGTTAAGAAAAATGTAAATTGACATAAATCACTGTAAAATAAAGAATTTATGCTAATTTACGCTATGACTTCTGGTGGCATAAAGTATGGAGTTCCAACGGATGTGTTTCTTCTCGCTAGTGTCACTGCTAAATGAGAGCTTACACCAAAATCTACCAACTTTATGTTTCCTTCCTCAGTTAATAAGATGTTATGTCCTTTAATGTCACGATGCATGCAGTGATTTTCATGCAAAAATGCTAATGCATCTAGAGTCTCTCTTAGTATGAAAGCTATTGTATTGCTACTTAAACATTGACTTTTGGACTTTAATTCATGGACCATATCAGTAATTGAGCCTGTAAATTATGATAATTATTGGACCATCCTTAATTTAATTTATTTTTTGCTATTTTTACCTCCACGGCACAATTCCATGACAAACCACAGTTGATCATCATCTTTATTTTTGCTCTTCTTAAGGAAGATTCCATGAAAGAATGGTAAGTTTGGATGTTTATTGCTAAGATCCCTCAAAACCAAAAATTCTTCTTCAATTTCTTCTAAATTCTCAGCTATCGTTTCGAGCACCTGTAAAAAAATGCATAATGAATCAGAAAAATGTACATAGATTAATTAGAGATTAACAAGAAGAAGATACCTTAATAGCAACCTGCTTTCCAGTAATTTTGTCTAAAAACGTGTATCGTTAAATGAATTAATAAAACAATACAATAATTGGCAGCATAATAAGGAAATAAATGCAAAATGTGTAATACCTTTTGCTCTATAGACTTCACCATAAGTTCCAACACCAAGAACTTGTGTTAATTCATATCTACCGCCTGGTGTAGGCAGACGACAAAAATCTATATGCTGCGATATTCCCTTATATTCCATTATTTATGTTTAGTGGACACAAAAATTTATATCGTCTGAAATAATGTTAAATTGAAATTGAATTAACGCACATTGCCAATATGAATCCGTACAAGTGAGTACATGAAAAAAAAAACATATGAATCATGTCCTTGCCTTTATATTCACACCGAACAAGACAAAACAATTTCAATTGTACATTAATAATAGACTCTTGGAACAACATGATTAATTAAACTATTAAAGATGAAAAATATAAAGCTTCAATAATTACAGAATGGCAAAAATTATACGCTTAATAGCGAGAAAATTAGGTACATCATGCAATGAAGTTTAATAAATTATAAAAGATATTCATCATTCGATCTCATCTCATATAGCTACCGAAGTGTCCAAAAATTAATAAGAAGTAGATTTGTAGCGCGGATTTGAAATCGAATTGACGGAAGAGTCATAAATAAGCTTTAAAAATAAAAACTCATCATTGCTTTTTATTCCTTGGTTCCTATTTGAGAAATTGGAACAGCACTTAAAGCACTTTTATTTTGAATCACGAAAGTTGTATACAACAATTTGATTTCACATTTTAGTCATCGACTGATAAAAACAATTGGAAACTAATCTGTAGTTTGGATATAAAACTATAAATTTGATTGAATTCGGCATGAAAAAAAAACACAGAATTGAAAGTTTCTCATTTTAATTAACTTCACTAAAAATTCTTTACATATCATCATACTGTTTGTTCATCTCATCTCGCTTACACTGCTTACCTATCTTTGAAATAATGGTACAGTTAGTTTTTTAATAGAAGCGTATACTTTTTTATTACACTCGAATTATTTCATGATAAATTGTTCATACACGAAAGTCACTTGATAAGAACTTAAATACGGACACAAAATTAAATTAATTTAATAAATAAATAAGTTAAGTAATTTAATTAAACATCACTGCAAAACTTTTACTATATAGTAAGTAAGTATCAGAACTTCTTCAAACAAGAAAAAACTGTCTGAACGTAATGAAAATGTAATTCATACTGAGAGCGTAATGTGCTGTGGCCTAAAAAATAGGTTGAAAATTAAATGAAAGAAAAGAGAAAAAAACAGAGAGTCAGCAGTGCCGTAAAGTTGGATTGTTACTTCGTTCTCGCAAATATAGTGAGAATTTCTTTAGCATAAATAAATGTTTAACTCTCAACAAGCGATTATAGTTTGCAGAATTATTGCTCCAATTTGTAGTAGAAGATTAAATGTTGAGACTAATTTAACAGCAAGAGGCAAGAGGTAGTCAGTTGGTCATTTGTTTTCACCTTTGAAATTTAATTTACTTTTTTTGATCAGCGAAAATGTAATAGCTACAGATATAGGAACACCTTAAAATTGTTGTGCTGCATTGTTATTTCTCTTGAGTTATTGTTAACACAATAATAATAATAATGCTGCACATGTCAATCATTAAAGAACTGTTACACTATTAGGTTGGTGACACATGGTATTGAGTTATGATGTTTGCAGTACCAAGCAGTGTTGTTATCGCTGTGTTTATATGTGACCTTTAGGGTCTGAAAATAAAATTTTGTGATAGAAATAGAAAATACCCTAAGTATGGAATGGAGCAAATCAAAAGGTAATTAAAGTTGGGAAAAATGGTCAAATCCAGCTATCTAGATTTATGTAAATTCTGTATAACATGAGTGACTTTGTACATCTTAGTTAAAACAACACTTTCATTAAGATCATTAAACATAATCAATTTTAAGCTTGATTATAATATTCTCTATTATCTTCTCAATGAATGAATATGTATGTGTTTAAAGAATGTATATATGTACCTTATGAAAACAGCAGAGTGACAAACAAAAGACAGAAACTGTAAACATGAAAGGTATCTGTATGGAACTGAAAGAGAAAAGAGAAATTTATTGAAGTAATTAAAACGTTCTAAACGATACACAACATGTACAAGTTCATTTTATTATTTAATATTCTTATCATCATTTTATCAATAGAATTGAACATATTACAAAAAGAAATACATAATTTAATATGTAGGATTAGATTTAAATTTACAAACATTTTAATTTTTTTTTTGGGGAAATATAAGACAATTAAGTTCATGTACTCATATTATTATATTTAAATTTACAGCAATTAAATGTTTTGAGATGCGTTGAGAATAATATCACAGATTTATGATCTTACGGTTATGGAATTAGCAGAGGAAAATATGAGCATAAACATAAATCATTTATATTTATAAACAAATATCATCGTGGTCTTTTTGATTTTTTTAAAACTGAAATAATAAAGAAAATTGAGCAAATAAGATAGTTATGATAAAACCATTCTTGTGTACTCTATTCATATGAGATCACGATGAACAATATTGTTCCCGACATGAATAAGATATTTCTAATTGTTCTTTAAATTTAATTTATGAATTGGAACATTTTCAAAGTCTAAAATTCTGAATTTAAACATTTATAGTACATTGAATTGACGCAATGAGTTTTGACATTATTAAAAAGCTTAATATCTTGATAGAAATCACGTTCTTTAATTTTTTTAAAATTTATTTATCAAGCTTACATTTTATTATGAAATTTTAATTGATACCCCTTTGATTTGACATTTAATGAAATATGTTATAAAATACTTACAGACATTATTTACTCTTCTTTTAAAATGTATAATTACTAATTCATATTTATTTAAATAATTATTTCATTCATTCATTTATGGTGATTTATTTAAAAAGTTTAATCATGTAGATCAGTTTCGCGCGTTTGACAAAAGTTCACATAGATAGGAATAGAAAGCAACAAAATTTAACTGTTATCATTTGCAACTCAGTGTTGTTTAATCAGATGACTTGGTCAGATATGCTTAGTTTACCAACATTATGTCGATGCGTGGCTGTCATGAATAGTTTAACGATGCCCTAAATTTACATCAGTGCTGATCCAAATAAACATTCTGATTAATATTTCATCAAGCCAAAACAACAACTTAGTAAACAGTTCTGGTGCAGATCATTAATAAAACATTTAGATCCTTTCAGGATATTATTCGAATTTTTCAAGTTTAGATTATTTTTTATCAAGGGCCAGCTACAAATCACGTCCATAATAAAATAAATTTTTGCCTATCTCTGTTTCAGAGAAATGATTTGCCCAAAAAAAGTTTGATAATTATCCTTAATAAATGCTGGAAGTCATTAGTAAACAGAACTGACCTTTAAGAATTTAAGCGCGGTAACTTTAATAAAAAATAAGAAAAACGACTATGCTAAGGAATTTAGGATGCGCATTATGATATCTACTGGACGGTGGAAATCCTTAATTAGCAGCTAAAATTTCAGATTAATTGATTATTTAAAAGTTTTATTCTTTTTCTTTGCCAACAACATTAACACCAAGTATATGCTCACCAGTCATTAAACCGCTCGGTTGATAATTTCTAATTTGATGTAGAGATATTAATTGATTTGGAAAACTATTTCCAGTATTTTGTACATTTTTATTTGGAATGCTAATTGCATCATAAATGTAGGGTCGCTGTGCTAACTGATGATGTTGTAAATTGAAGGGAGATTGCATGGCGTTAATGGGTGTAAATGCAGAATTTGATACAAGTTTTGATTGATTATCGTACACATTTGAGGTTGACGAAACATTCAAAGTTTGCCCATTCAAATCATTCTCAACATTTTCGTCCCTATGATGATGAAGTTCATGTCCATTTGGTAACTGAAATTCTTGTTGGTGCTGATGTTGAATCACTTCGGATGAAATGTTTGCTGCTGAATCGGGACTTACTTTTGGCCAATATGGATGATCTTGTTGCAACGAGACACCGGTTTGGACAACAGAACTTAATGACATGGAAACATTAGGATTGTTGTTATTATTTGCAGATTGATTAGTTGAAAGACTACTGTTGTGATTGTTATTGTTGTTGTTGTTTGTTGAATTAGCAGCACTATTGTTATTGTTATTACTGTTCTGATTTCCCTGACTTCTTCCTGAAATTGGTGGTCTCTTATCAGTTCTTTCTGAATGTTTCTGCATATGTTTCTGTAAGTAAGTTTCTTGCGTATATGATTTTCCACAATATTGACAAATGTGCGTTTTTAAATGCTTTGACTCTTTATGTTTGGGAATATGTTCAAGTAACGACGGTTCATCTGCGAAGCATTTATAACATGAATTGCATTTGAATGGTTTATCAGTTTGATGACTTCTCGAATGCGATTGGAGGTTTGAAAGTTGTGAGAAAGCCTTAACACATCCTGGATTACGACATTTATAGGGCTTATCACCTGTACATCGAATTATTTTTAACCAATTAGTTATAGTAAAAAAGTACAAAATAAAAATTATAATCACCTGTATGAGTACGAATGTGCTGCTGTAGATGTGAAAGTTGAGTGAATTTACGTTGACAAATTTCACATCGATAGGGCTTGATTCCTAAATGTATTCGTGTATGTTGTGATAAATAGCTTGAATTCGCAAATGCCTTAGAGCATTGTGTGCATTTATATGGTTTTGCTTCTCGCATATGTGCCTGCGTATGAAGTTGAAGATCAGCTTTGGAAGAAAATATCTAAAAATAATAATTAAATTATAAAGTAATAAGTCATAAGCTTCAAGGTCATTTTACCATTGATTGTGGAACTAAATAATCCATAGAGGAATCAAATAAATTTGCTCAAAAACTAAGAAAGTTATAAAGCTGTGATTTTAGTTCTTTATGAACTTGCATTTTCATGTTTAAACAGTTAACTTGTACCACTTCTTTTTCCATTCGAATTTGAACATTTTATGTCTCTTAATTCGGCTTTATTATTTTTTTTGGCTGTTGTTTGTTGTTATTGAAATTATTTCCGATGAAAGCATGTGAAAATTGTGTCTGATAATTATTGTATAATGCAAATTAATATAGCATTTCTAATAAATTGTGTGCTTGTCTACATCTAATATTTATTCATTTATCATTATCAAAAATATTAAGCCTTACAAATTCATATTTAAAATTATTCAATACTTTTTCAGTCGTGTTTTGTATTAGGAAGTTTTATGTATACTAAATACTGACTGACTAACACAATATAGCCATCATCAACTGATGAAAATTCATATAGTAATTTTTCCCCATTTATTTCACCGCTTCACCAAAAAAATGAGAGAAAAAATGCAACAACAAATCTTTAAAAAAATGATTGAATGGATAAAAAAAAATGCCAACACAAGAACACCCGAAATAAAATAAAACACCCTTTTCCTGCCGTCTGAATATATGTGAGTAAACATGTGTCTGATTGTCTATGTTCTACAGTGAATAGAAAAATTTTTTGGTCCTTTAATGATTTTTTTTTTCGCTTTAAAATTCAAATTTTTTTTAATCCTTTAGAGAAAAGGGAGAGTTGTTGGGGTTGAACAGCTAATATTGAATAAAACTCGCTGTTTTAAATGGATATGAAGAATTTAATGATTTCAGTCATGACTGTAATTTTCTTTCGTCAATTTTAGTTTAGGATTATTTTAATTCCGGTAGTAATAAACATTAAAATTATTCAGGTAGTTCACAAATGACGTTTAGCTTTTTCTTGACTGACTGTATAAAAAAAATTTATATTCTTCTACTTGAGACACTATATTTCCCTTATAAGCTAAAAGTCATGAATGAACAAACACATTATATATCTTACATAAGTCATACTCACTTGAGGACACATCTTGCATTGATATTTTCGACCTGTATTGTTAGATAGACCTGTTGATATCTTTGTTGCATTGATAGGTTGTGGAACAACCAAAAGTGTGGATGATTGTTGGCCATGTAGATTTCCAGGTGAATTGCTACTAGAAGTAGTTCTTAATGGTCCAGTGGTTGAATATACTTGATTATTTTGAATATTAATGCCATGATGTTCATCCAATAGATGACCTTATGAATAAAAATTAAATGCAACAAAAATAAATTCAAGGCCTTTAAAATTTTAAAGTAAATTAAAAATCTTACCTTTTTGAATTGATCCATGATGATCTATATTCATCTTTGCCTGTAAATAAATGTCGTGTATTAAATAGCAATTTCATAAGCATGCTTTCATATCGTAGTTTTGCTTATTTAAAATATATATGTTTAATACCTCAAAGCCTTGCTTCATTGACATATGATTTCGCGGAGTCCAATTGTTATAATCAGTAATATCTTTCGTATGTTGAGCACATTGCTATAATAAAATTAAAAATTACAATTTGTCATGTTTTTATCTGTGTCTAAAGTTTCAAGACCTAAACTTGTATTTGAATAATTAAATGCATTGAATGTAATTTTATTACTTAACAAAATAATTTAAAACTACCTCGACAGCTCCATTCCACATGTAATGCATTCCAACAGAATCATGATGGGAATTTGATGTCATATGCTCAGCCATGACTGCACTCATCCAATGAACAAGTCCCTGTGTTGGATTCTGACCCTGTTGCACGCTGCCTGGAACAGGCATTGCCGTGGTTGACGATGACAAATGCACTTTTAATGATCAATATTTCCCTCTTGAAAAGAAATATTCTTCAAATGAAGATGACTGAAAGAAATAAGGAATTGAAAGTTTGGAATTGATTTGCTTTAAAATATTTTCTATTAAATTGTTCAAAAGAATAAAATTTAACATGTGACTTCCTTAATAATATTAACTCCTTTAGTTAAGTTTGAAGGTATGAAGAATGGCATGAGTAATATCAAAATTGTAACATAACTGCTACAAAAGTTTTGAATACATTTTTTTAGTCGTGACACAAAAATTATTTTCATTTTCTTCTTTTTACTTCTTTGTTACTTGACTTTTGAAATTTTTATACCAGACAGTAACAAAAGATCGTCGGGTTTTGCGAATTTGCAAAAGTGTCATTTTTAATTTTAATTTATTAAATTAAGGTTTTAACTCTCAATCAAAGCATTTCTGAAATTGAGAACGTTGAAAGATTTTTTTTTTTTAAAATCATGCTTCATTTAGCTTTCTAGTAATTATAATTAATATGTTTTTGACCATAAGGGGTCGTTCACTTATGATGTCCATCAAAAAATGAGATTTGAACCCCCTCCCCCCTTCTGTCACAAAATTTTCATACAAAATAAAATCTTTTGTATTGAGGTGTCACACAGCTTCAGACCCCCCCCCCTAAATGTTGGACGTCATAAGTGAACGATCCCTAAGCTTTATGCAAATAAACGATTTTATTAAACATTTACATTTAATTATAGTCGCTATTCATAAAACTCAATCTTCAAAAACCAAATTGCGTGTGCGACTATAAAAAAAAGTCGGAATATAAAAGCTTTCGAGAGTATATAAAACACGAAAAAGAAACTATCGAGTCTGAATTTATTATATTAAATAAGAATAAAATTTGGGAAAGAACACATGTTACCTATATATACATGTATAATTATGCTGATGTCGCAACCGGAAATGTAAAAGTTTCCCTCAAAGAAAAACTGGGCGTGTCAATTTTAGTAACAATTGCGGAAATAGAAAAATTCAATTTCTTGATACAGAAGGCGTGGTAAGTTTTAAATATGCAAGCTTACTATCAAATTGGGGATTTTTTTATAAACTGTAAATTAAAAATCAGCAAATGAATGTTGCTCTAAATAAAATTTGTTCATTTATGGAAATTAAGAAGCTTTCACTGAATAAATATTAAGGTAAGTAATGACATAGAAAATAGTTTAAGGTTTTAAAAACATGCTTGTAATTTGGGGAAAGGAATTCTTGAAATAGAATGATTCAAATGTTAATTTAACGTTACAATTGTCTAGAATTGGATTTAAAGTCTAAAAAGCTTTCTCAATTTTAATAAAGGCTTTTCTCGACATTTCTAATTAACAGGACAGTTTATAAAAAATATTGAATTTGTTTTCTCTTACTTGAAGAATTTGGGGTTTTGGATTTGTGTAAGGGAGTTTTGCCTTAGCCATTATAAAATACAATAGAATATTAGTTTTTGGGAGTCTAGACTGATTCAATGGCATAAAATACACTTCCGTTTATCAATGTTAAACTAGATCGATAAAATGCATTTTCCTTGCATACAACCATATCTATTTATTGTTAATAATTTCAAGAAATTCTTAAGTATTTAAGGTCTTTTTGAACACATTTTACTTTGCAGAGAATTTCAGCGAATTTATTTTGGAAAAACAACACCCATCAATTAGACTTAGTATTTGGTTTTTTCTGCTCGGGTATTTCTATATTTTAAGTTTCTTCACAGGAAATAATACAAAAGATTTCATCGTCAATCATGATCACAGTGACTCCGGTTCGTCACATCTTGTAGGAACTCGTAGCTTTACCGAAATCCTTGATAGTTATTATTATTATGATTATAAACACATTTATGAGAAATTAAAAAATGAGTTTTGATTTTTATCGTCAAAATTTTATATTAAAAATATTATGTTTAAGACAGATAAAGATCTCGCTCTCTATTGAATATACATAGGTTTCTGAAGCTCATAACGAACATTTTAAGATTCCTAAAAGGTGTCTTTTCTTCAATTTTTTATGATTCTTTTACAAAATATATTACCCTTTTTTCATTATAAGCTACTGCTCGTTACTAAGCTACTAGTGAGCCAAAAAATCACTTTTTTATTCTATTAAGCTACTAGCTTAAAACCAAAAAAACTGGGTAATGCAGTAGCTAAGCTAAGAAAACTTAAGATGAACAAAAATTCCGTTGGTAAAATGTTTCAAAATCTAAAGCATGCCATTTTATATCATCTTTTTTGGTGCTTACAGCTTCAAAGTTAAATCCTTTAAAATGAACAACAAATAATGTACAACTTTATTGTTTTTATTTAAAAAAAAATCCTTTTGACTAGGGTCATTAATAAATAAAACTTAAATGCCAGTTTTTGAAGTTTTTTTAAGAAATGTTCAATATTCCCGGTAGTTACAAGAATCTTTTAAAAAGATTCATTTATTTAATTTTTGAAGCCAAAATGATGCTTCAAAATATGAATGAATGAAAATTAACTGTTCTTAATAACATAAAAAAAAATATTTTTAAAAAATCAATTTAGATTTTTACAAAATTTAATTAACTTTTCTCAATTAAAACCTAGAAGATGCAAGCTATGTTTCTGAGAAATTAACTAAAGTTTGTCCTTTAACATTTGATTCAACGTATTCCTTGTAATAATGATATCTGAAGATAATAACTTCAATGCTTAATGGTTCAACAATATTATATACTATTAATCATCTAGGATTGGATCAATTGAAAAACGTTTAGTTCCAGCATTTCTGGAGAAATAAATATTAAGCATTATATTAAAGCTGAAATTGATTCTTTATATTTAAATCGATCGAAAATTAAATTAATATGTCTATTTTGTGGCATCAGAAGCAGTAAGCAGTAAGCAGTACATTTAAAGTTATAACGAAAAGCAGAATGTCATTATCATTTGCAATAAAAGAAAAACACCCTCTGAACTTCCCTCAAAAATTATATTGTTATAAAAAAAACTCAAGTTCATCCCTCGATGAAAAAACACCAAAACAAGAAAGTATAAAAATTACACATCGTTTGTCTTTTCGTCAACGATGAGTTAATTTTCTTTTCACCATTGTAACAAAAGATAAAGGAAAGAAAGGAAGAAGGAAAACAGAAATTTTGAAGACTTAAGGGATGTTATGGTATCATCTATTTATCCCCATTCCTTTTAAGGAACATCATTAATAACATCTTCCAAAAGTTTTTCAAGCTTTGCAATGCAAATTTAGGTTAATTAATTCTAAGGATGTTAATGACTAATGATTGCAAAAAATCAATAAAAGCAATTAAATTAGATCCGTAAGAAATATCTTTAAGATTCTCACACACAGGGAAAGGAAAACAACGTAATGTTGCATTTTCAAGAGTGATACACATCACAGTTTTTCCACATTGATTGATTGTTTGTTTGCGACTTGAAGAATGTGTCTACACATAAAATGATGGTATTGCTTTATTTCATCTCTTTTGCTCCAAAATATTATTCTTGATATATAAATCACACATATATCTTTATGCTGAGTTTTGTGGTATTCTTGTTTTATTAATGGTCCACATTAATACAGAAGTCAAATTTTGATCTCCAGAAGCAGACACGCGATTTATTTTCATTTTTTTCTCTTGAGAAAATTTTCACAATTTTCATGGTAGATTTAATGAGGCAGAGGGTTTAGTGGAATGGATTAAGTATTTACCTTTGGATATTACATATCTAAGCTAGGGATAAACATTTGAATGTACTCAGATGTATAAAAATAATGATGCTAATTTGCTCTTATTTATTGAATAAAACAACTAATTTTAATGTGATCTTTTGTCGCAAATTTATTGTTGAGTTGTTGGTTCGATTTTGATCCAATTATGTCCTTTTTTAAAATAAATAACTGATGATCAAGAACAGGAAAAAAATTCGAGAAGGTCTCGGGATTTCCGCTGATGGATAAGATTTTTATTATAAAAACTGATAAGTCCAAATCAGAATAAATAAGATCATTCTCAGCCTAGTAAAGGAATAATTTATTAAATGATTGAAATTCGCATACGAAGGATTTTAATATTTTAAAATCGCGAAAAAGTGTTAATTGCAGGCTGAGCTTGAAGTCAATGAAATTTTGTATCGAGTCAACTCCGCCATACAAAATCGATGAAAATCTCGAGTCGACTTCGAGCTCTGCTAGCAGGGACAGAATAAAAATTATAAAATATTAATTGTTGATTAAATTGTGATCAAAAGTGAATTCATACAAAAAAATCTTTACAAAGCTTATTGTAGACTATTTGGTGTCACACTAAAATCCTTAAACGGACCCCAAATCCTTGAAAAATCTTTAAACTAATCAATCCAATAATAAATCTAGTGATGGAGACATACTGTGTAAAATCAGACGCTTTTAATGAATGCTTAGCTTTAATACAAAAGTAACTTTATGAAAAATTCCAGCAGTTTTATAACAAAAACTGGTGTATCGGGTAGAAACCCAATGCTGACATTTTCACACTGTGCCATCGAAAGTCTTGTTAATAGTCCAAGCTTCAGCATATAGTTTAAGGTTTAAAGCTTGATGGGTTAACTGAGCTTCGCACAGTAGCAGAAAACATTCTTTAACTTCTTTCTTTGAAGCAGCGGCTGTTCCTACCTTGCCCAAAAATTATACAGTAGATGAGCTGAGATAAGGCAGCATAAACGAAATATAAAAAAATAGATGTCTCTACGATGTATATATTAATTTTTCTTGTTGATAATCTTGCGGGATTACTTACAGATAGCGTATTTTGCGATTTTCTCAGCAATGCCGCAACAAAATTGAAATCTGTTTTCGCAAAAAATGTAAAATTTCAGGCACAAACTTTTTATTTTTGTACATTTTCAGCTCTTTTGCTCCATTTTCCCATAAAGTTTAAAAAATGTTTTTTCAATCAGAACAAAAACAATGCATGTAGATAGAAAAAATAATGTAGACGTGTAGAAAGAATCTGCAAGGAGATTTTTTTTTTCATCTTCTTGGAGACGAATTTACGTAAT